AAAAAGGAACATTGAGTTACTAACTCAGTATTGACATGGAAATGAAGATAACATCACATAAGACTGAATACAAATAAGATTGAATACAGGAAAGTTTCTTAAACTTTGGTTTGTCAAAATAATGACAACCAAAAATACACAAAGACCAGCAAGAGGAACCTGAGGTGTGCAAGCTTTTATGCTAGGATTTCTATCCAGCCAAGATTGCTGGAGAGAGCTAAGTACCAGGAAAAGCCAACCGAGGTTGACGTTCAGCCTGTGTCTCCTGAAAGAAACGCATAAGCAGATTAGGATGTTCTGCTGTCTCTACGTTTTCCGCTGACATTTTCAAAGCTACACAAGTAATGAAAAGCATTGCAAGACAGTCATCATTCTCCACTTAGTCACTGTTAGTTCACATTTAGCTATTTTTCCATCTCTTTCATAGGCACACGCTTAGGTACGCACACGCACATTTGATTTACCTACTTTTTGCTCAACTTTGTATTGATAAGTTGTGAAGTTGTGTTCTCTGCAACTGCTGTATAACAACTATACCTCAGTAAAGAAAAAAAAAAATACTTTCAAACAAAGACAATAAAAGTAAGTGAAAAATATTGTGGGCATCATATCCTCAAACCCTAACTGTTTCCACGCTCATCACCTAAGACCCAGAGCGTTCTCCCAAAAGAACCTGAAAAATCACCACATCCAAAACACCCAACTCTGATTTCTTATTAACAACTAATATTCCATATTTGAATCCTCTGTGTTCCACAAATGCCCTTTGGAGTTTTCTATTTTTGATTTAACATCTAATCAAGATTCAAAGAATGCATTTGTTTTTCATATTTCCTCTGTCTCCATGGATATAAAGCAGTTATCTTACCCTTGAACTAAAAGCCTCCTCTGTTAATGCTGGCCCTGCTCCTGAGGCCAGTTTCCTGCTAACGTCCACCCCTGCGGGCAGCACGCATGGCTTCCTGCCAGCCACACGAGGGAGCTAGACGGACTTCACGAGTCTTGGGTTGGATACAGCTCTCGGCTCTGGTTGTTCCTGACACGTGGAAAATGAATCAGCAGACGCTGAATAAATGAATCCGTCATTCGTATCTCTGTCTCATTTCCTTTCAAACAAAGACATCAATTTTGATAAAAAGTAGAATATTGCCAAGATTTTGGATTTTCCAGGCCAATCCGGAAAAGAGACAAGCATCAAGATTGCTATCTCCAGTGGCCTGTTTGTTTCTTCAGCCTCATCTTATCCTGGCCACTCACGTCCCCACATCCCAACACTCCCTAAGTAGAACAGAACATGCTCAAATGACCACATCCTTACTTACCCTCCCAGCTGCTGAACTCCTGCCTAGGTAGGCTTCCACTATCAAAATTCTTATCTCACTGGGCTATATCTGTGTTTAAAAAGACAAAGGGAAAAATTTATTGGCTATGTGGTTAAACAAATTTAGGGTAAGAGGATTTAGAAACAAAAGATGACAGCAGGATGGTGTGTATGTGTGTGTATCCCAAAGTTCTGTTTTTCTCCATGTTGGCTTCATTCTCTAGAATACTCTTTCAGTGTGACAAGAATGATGTCCCCGATAAACACCTGAAAATTTGAAGAAAGAGATTCTGCTATTCTCACATCTAGAATCACTTCCCTCTAAAGGATTCAAAAACAAGATGAATGACCATAGATTTACAAAGATTTATCGACCTAGTCTGTGTTTCACAGCTGAAGTAATGAGGGAACTTATTGAGATCTTTAAGAAGATTCTCTGCACACGCACATCACACGGTTATTTTTAAGTTAATCTATAGCCAGGGGCATGGGACTTTTATGACATCAAGGCCATAAAAGAAGCGTGGTTGAAGGACTGGCACCATGGCTCAATGGGTAACTCCTTACCTTGCAGGTGCCAGAATCCCTTATGGGTGTCTATTCATGTCCCAGATGTGCCCTTTCCCACTCAGCTTCCTGCTGATGACCTGGGAAAGCAGTGGAGAATGGGCCAAAGCTTTGGGACCCCGTACCCAAGTGGGAGGCCCTGCAGAAGCTCCAGGCCCCTGGCTTTGGATCAGCTCAGCTCTGGCCGTTGCAGCCATTCAGGGAGTGAACTCATGGATGAAGATCTTTCTTGCTGTCTCTCCTCTTCCTAAATCTGATCTGCCTTTCCAATAAAAATAAATCTTTCAAAAAAATTTTTTAAATAAAGAACCTTGGTGCAGATTTAGGTCCTTGATTCATTTCAAGCTGATTTTTGTATAAGGTGACAGATGGGATCTTGTTTTTTACCTCTGCAGGCTGCTAACCAATTGTCCCAATAGCATTTGTTGAAGAGACCAGACTTTCCTACTGAATTATTTTCAGGTCTCTTGTAGATGAGTTGGCTGAACGTGTGTGGGCTCCTTTTGGGGTCTCTTCTGTTCCATTGATCTTCTCTGTTTCTGTACCAGTTCCAGACTGTTTTGATGACCACTGCCCTGGAGTATGTCTTGTGAGGTCTAGAATTGTGATTCCTCCTGCTTGATTTTTTAAAAAGATTTATTTTATTACTTTTACTGCAAAGTTGGATATACAGAGAGGAGGAGAAACAAGAGGAAGGTCTTCTGTCCGATGACAGAATAAATTAGAGAACAAAATTCATTTATTCACAGATCTCTACAAATCTGACTCCAAGTAATTCACAATGTGAAAGCGGGGGGGAACCCATGATTTCATTGTCAGGTTCACTGATGAAGATAAAGCCAGACACCTGACAAAGTATGAAGGAAGGGGCCATGAAAAGTGTGTCATTAATAAAGAGAGAAATTTTTTTTAAATTAAGATTCTCGGTGGAAAACATGTTCTGAAACAAAGACTGTATATTATTACTTAGGGACTTCTGGCGTTGGGACCAGAAAGGACCCTGAATTCTACACATAATGTTATTTTCCCCCCAACATATCCACTCTATCCTTTTTATTAAATAGATGAGAATATATTTGTGGAATATAAATACATGGATAAATTGATTGATGAGAGAAAGGGAAACAGGCGCGCAGGAGTTGCACACACAGCGAGTCCTCCTGTAGCTTTCCCGAGCAGTGAATTTTACTGAGCAGTAAATGCATGACATCTGGTGGCAAAGCTTAGTAACAGGTTCCGTGTAGATTTGCACACTGGCAAAAACAGGTGCCATGCATTGAATGATCATTCTGTCTTCAGAAAGAATAATTCAAAATGCTGCCAGTCACCCAGCAGTCATCTCCGGCACAGAAAGCACCCAGGAACTGTTCAGTATATGGAACCCAAGGCGTCATGCAGATACTGACAGAACTCATGTTCTCTTCACTGCCACAGTCACTCGGAACACACTGAAGAGAACAGGATTGGAATGCACAAGGCTTAGGCCATCAGGAGGAGCATTTAAAAAACCTAGTGACAGCCAAAGAGAGAAAATGATGACCTACCACTGTATTATTTGGAGCCTAATTAGATTTCTAGCTAAATTTTTATTGACCCATGTTGGGTTGTCTCTTGCTTAACTAAATAAGCTAGCCAACTAATACTCATTAACTGTCTGTCTTACACTGACATTCATGTAATTTGCTAGACAGAACTGTAAGAAGAACCTGGCTCTTCTGAAAAACTTACAGCCTTAATTTTTTTTTAAAGATTTATTTTTATTATTTTTTTTATTGGAAAGGCGGATATACAGAGAGGAGTGACAGAGAGGAAGATCTTCCATCCGATGATTCACTCCCTAAGTGAGCCACCACGGCCGATGCTATGCCTATCTGAAGCCAGGAGCCTCTTCCGGGTCTCCCACGCGGGTGCAGGGTCCCAAAGCTTTGGGCTGTCCTCGACTGCTTTCCTGGGCCACAGGCAGGGAGCTGGAAGGGAAGCGGGGCTGCCAGGCTAGAACCGGCGCCCATATGGGATCCAGGCGTGCAAGGCGAGGACCTTAACCACTGCGCCACCGCTCCGGGCCCAGCCTTAATTTTTTAAAAAGACTCCAACAAATAAACAATGAAAGGACCATACTAAGCAACATGCTACGGACTGCTGAGAGTCATTGCTCTAATTTGCTGGGAAAAGAAACACTCCGAAGATTGGAGTTGTCAGGTACAATTCACTGACGTAGATAGGATTTGAATTGAGCTTCTGAAAACTTTGGACAGGCTCAGCTCAGGCTGTTGCATCCCACTTGGAGGGTGAACATATGGATGGAAGATCTTTTTCTCTTTCTCTTTGGAAATCTGTCTTTCCAATAAAAATAAATAAACCTTAAGAAGAAAATTATGGATAGGAATCTTAAAATACCTTGGAATTAACCAAGGAATGGATAAAGAAACTGTGGTACATCTACTCAATGAAATACTACTTAGCAATTAAAAAGAATAAAATTCTACCATTTGAAACGAAATGGCCCCAGCTGGAGACCATTATGCTTTGTAAAATAAGCCAATCCTAAAAGGACAAATATCACATATTCTCTCTGATGTAAAGCAACTTCATGCACAAGACAGATATACAGGTAAAGATGCATGTACATATGGTCATCCACAGGAACTGCGGATTACAGATGATCATTTCAGGGTGTGCAGATACACTGCAGCATGTATCAGAGATGGACTCCCAGCGAAACTGTCCAATCTATCTTGACAACAGGATGCTGGACTTTCCACCACTGTCCATACCTACAATGTCAGGATACCCTTATATAGCAGAAACATGGACTTATGACTGTTGTTGAATTATACTATCGTAATAATATAGGGGACATCAGTGAAGGGGAGAGGACTTGCGGGGAGGGGAAGTCCCAAAGCTTATGGGACTGTATAAATAAATACATAAATAAATAAATAAGTAAATAAATATCACATGCCAAAGACCAAAGCAAATATGCTTTGCTTGGTCTCTTTTTAGAACAACAACAACAAAAAAATCAATTCTATGCCTGTGTTTTTCCTTTGCTTTTTATAACATATGTATGCTGATATTTAAATGTGGTACAAATTTACATCAACAGCAATAAAATAGAACTTCATGATTTAATCACCAAGAGTGTGTCAAGACATCTGTCCTATATGATCTTTATTGGAGAAAGTGCCAAGACTTAAGGGATTTGTGCATTCTAGGCATTTTAGATAAATGCTGGTATCTATGAATTTAAGTACTCAAGGACTTGATTGGAAGAGTCCAATAGACTAAAAGTCTGCTTTTCAAGAGAACCATGATCTTCCATCAACGGGGAGATTTTGACGTTTCTATATTCTAACAGTTCACGATCCTTGCTTGATGTTAATAATTCATTATCGACTATACCAATAGCTGCATCTTCCACAAGAATGTTTGCTTGGTACGTTCCAACGGGAAGGTCAGGCAATCCAATGTAGTCATGATCTGCCACTATTGAACCTTGCAAGAAATAAAGACTGTCTGAAAGAAGAAATAGCATATGTTGGCCTTTAGAATTATAGGTAAACATCATTTTTAAATTAAACAATGTTACATGAAGAACAGAATTCTAAACAATAATAACGAATGATGTTCTTCTATGCACTGCAGACATACATAAGCTGAAGAATGAATAAGATGATAAATTAAATACATTTGATAGTTCACACAGAAAAGAATGCAATGGACCTCGAGTTGTGGTATAGTGAGTCAGACTGTAGTCTACAATATTGGCATCCCAATTCCTGGCTACTTCCAACCCATCTCCCCATTAACACGGCTGGGAAGAAAACAAAGTCTTTGGGCTACTGTGACCCAAGTGGAAGACGAGGCTGAAGCCCGGGCTAACTGGCTTCCAGCTGGCCCAGCTCCAGACAATGCAGTCCTTTACGGGAATGAGCCGTGGACAGATTTCCTCTCTCCTTTTTTCTCTCTGATTCTGCTTTTCAAGCAAATATATACCCAAAAAAGAAAAAATGAAATAAGCAGAAAACACCCAATTTCCTGTCCCCTTTACCCATCTTTGGTAGTTGTGTGTGCATGGCAGACAGGAGTGGGAGGAAAAGACAAGTAGGAGTTTTGGTATAGTGTAGAAACAGGATTATAAACCTGCATTCCATTTCAGGATGAATTAAGGTGGTAAGGAAAGGCATAACAAAATAGAATTGTTAATGCCTTATCTTTAGCCTTACTTTTTGATAATTAACTTTCCATAATTGTCCACATTTTATTAAACAAAAAAGTTTCAATTTGGTAGAATATAAGGTTGTAAAGTTAATGTAGGCAGAGATCACCAGAATCAGGTGTGTGTCAGGAATGTGTAGAGAGGTGGGCTGTAATAATTAACTGAACTTCATTATTTACATTTACAGGAAGCAATGCTCTCTACCAAGAGATGGCAAGTGGCCTCGTATGGCCATTTCTCACTAGATAAAGCACCCCTAGTATTTTAGTTGTGAGTAAACACTTTCCCCATTTAGACTCATCAATTCTTAATGTAAAAACAGTGTTTAGATTTTAAAATGATAAATTTTGGGCCCGGCGCGGTGGCGCAAGTGGTTAAAGGTCCTCGCCTAGCACGCCCGGGATCCCATATGGGCGCCGGTTCTAATCCCGGCAGCCCCGCTTCCCTTCCAGCTCCCTGCCTGTGGCCTGGGAAGGCAGTCGAGGACGGCCCAAGGCTTTGGGACCCTGCACCCGCGTGGGAGACCCGGAAGAGGCTCCTGGCTTCGGATCGGCATAGTATCGGCCCGTTGCGCTCACTTGGGGAGTGAATCATCGGACGGAAGATCTTCCTCTCTGTCTCTCCTCTCTCTGTATATCCGCCTTTCCAATGAAAAAATAATAAAAATAAATCTTTAAAAAAAAAAATGATAAATTTTATACACATTTATGTTGGAATAAAAAGTATGGACAACTGAAGATGATAGGAGTGATCAGTTGCTAGACAAGAGGAGTGATTCTGAAAGACAAAAAATGACTCATGTAACCCAGGAGAAATGCTACAGCCCACAGCATGAAAAAGAACAAATGACCAATGATACAGCCACAGCATGATTTTATAGATTCGATGTCAACATTCAGTACTTATCTATTGACAGTACATGTTTTTCCATAGGGATAAAGTAGGTCTATTTCAGAAAAATATGGCCAGTAAACATATGGTAGGGGAGAACGAAGGGCAAGTGCCGGCAGCCCATATGGTGCCTGTACAGGTTTATCTGCTCTCATTTCTGATCAAGCTCCCTGCTGATGGCACGGGAAAGCAGTGGAAGATGGTCTTCCACTCACAAGGATGTATTTAAAAATAACCAGAAATACATCCACGAGCTACATGAGTAAGCATCAGTGATGATCTGGATATAGTTATAGCACGGGAAATAGCAGTTAAGATGAGCTTGGGGCTGGTGTGATGGTTCAACTGGCTAACAATCCTCCACCTTGTAGTCAGCATCCTATGTGGCCCCCTGTTAATGTTTCAGCTGCTCCACTTCCCACTCTGTTTTCTGGTTATGGTCTGGGAAAAGTAGTGGAGGGTGGCCCAAAGCCTTGGGACCCGGCAATCTCATGGGAGACCTGGAGGAAGCTCCTGGATCCCAGATGTGGACTGGCTCAGCTCCGGCTGTTGTGGCCATTTGGGGACTGAAGTAGTGAATGAGAGACCTCTCAAAGTCTCCCCTTCTCTCTGTAAACCTGCCTTTCCATTAATATCAATCTTAAAAAGGCTCTCTGAAGTTTGCAGTTTAATTTGCTAGAACTATGTTCACAAATTGTGCCCTTAAGCACTTGATTTGTGATCAGGCTAAATGGATTGTCACAAGGCAAGAGTGAGCCCTCCCACAGAGCTGTGGCAGGTGAGAGGCAGAGCTGAGCCACCAACACTGTGTGGCTCCTGCGGAGTGTCACACCCGGAGAAGGCACGGGCCGTGGCAGGTTGTTTCTAGTCATTCCTGTTATTTACACTTCCTTGGGTAAATAACCTACTTGCTATATGCTCTCTAAAGCTCTAACAAACTGTGCCTTCATTTAATTGTTACCCATATCGTAGTAAGTCATGCTTTATCTTGCTTAATAGAAAAAGTATAATCAGCTAAGATATTAATTGCCTCCCTCTGTTAAAACACAACAAGATGAATCAGTCCTGAGAAAGCAGGGAATTTCATCTGAAAGTCATGACAAAATGTCCTTAGATTAATCTAACAAGGAAAAGGGTTAGAGAACCAGTCACGGTTTTAGGGCAAGCATAGCCTAGTTTAGAGTGCTGTAACTTTCTATCATACAGCACTTGGAATACACGCTACTTCCCATCTGCCAGCACCCGCGACCTCAGTGACGCAATACTGAAGGCTAACAACGCTCTCAAGGTGCACTGATTTATTCTTATCCCAACCAGACTCTGCCTGGTATGCTGGATTTGTGTACTAATGAGCCTAGTTTTCATGTAAAAAGGAGTCACAAATTCCTAACAGGGAAAACAGATGTAGTCCTTCTTTCTCTGTTGACCAAAAAATGTAATCCTTCCTTCTGTGAAACAAATTCACTATGTCCCACATGCACTCTGAAAAGCTCATAGTCTTTAAAACAGAACCGTTCACAAGCCTGACAGCTCCAGAAGAAAAATTCTAATAAAAAGACTACCTGGGATATCTAAAATTATACCAAATACAAAACGGGAAGGGAAAGGAAACTCATTCAAAGAAGGAAGGAAGGTTGCTAGTTCTTTTAAACTGCCCTCCTCAAACGAAACGAAAACATGGGGAACGACGGACACTGACCTTGCTCACTGGTCTCCCTGACATAGGGCTTCAGGTGGGACATTTTGATAGGTCTCTTCAGTCTAGCTCCGGTGTTGTCTCTGAGGACAGCACAGCCACTGTCTGTGATGTAGTCTATGACACAGGGACCGACCCACTTAGACTGGAAACGGCCATCCTTCCACCAGTTTTTCCTTTGTCTTAAAACTTCATGACCAACTTTCAGATGAAATGGATTTAATTGTTTTGGCTTCCTTTTAACAATGACCTTGCTTTTATTTAGTCCATCTGCGTTGTTGTTCTTTAACTGCAAGTGCAAAAGGGGGGAAAAAAAAATAAGGGAATGAAAGAGCTGTGATTTATTGAAGACAAGTGCAGATAATGGTAACTGAAATGTAACCATAAATCCTTCTGAAACCTTAAAGAGCTCAAAGCGTTAACACAGGTTAAGGAATTCACCAAACAGCTGGCAAATAATACCTTATGTGTGATTACAGCTCTATTTGATTCCAAACTTCACAACTTGCAGCTAATAACCATTCTATTACTATTATTAAGAAGAACTTAAGAAAACACGTGTGCATGTGTGTGCTTACGGATGTTTGCTAAAATTATTATTTGTTAACCACTTCAGAGATTTAGTATCAAGCAGAGTCACCTGGTCCACTGCAGCCGTCTTCCTCTCCGCTGTCGCATCAGCCTCCTTGATGGCAGCCAGGATCCTGGCGAACATGCCTGCGCTTTCGCCCCCGGCTTCGTGAGGACCATCTGACGTCTCAGGCAGGGAAGCGTTTCGACAAAACATCTGAAAATACGGTGTGTTTTTAGTCGGCTCCTGTTTTAAGAAAAACAGCCAATCTATGACAAAATGTTCACATAGCCAAGACAGTCATCACTCAGAAGTAGGAATGACAACAAGGAACTCACCAAGTGAGTTATATTAAAGGCAAATGAAACGGCCGGCAGGTGGTCATCCCAGGTGTCTGGGTGGTCGGCGCAGTGTTTAGAGAGAAAGGTCTTGATTGCACTGGGTGTGCTTTCAGTCGGGTTAATAGTTCCAGAGGCGTGAGAAGTCACGATTTGCTTCGTGCCAAACAAGCTGTACAGTTCAGCGTTGATCTGAAAAATACATGAAACTTTTTCAAACTGATGTACTAGTTTTCATTGCTTTTTAAGAAGACTTGAATTTGAACCTTTTGTATAGCCAAGCTATACAAAAATAGCTATTTTGTTTTAAACAGAAATTTCCGCTAACTAACCCTTACTACACACCGCTCAGCATAACAGAGGATCAACATGTGCATTAAGCCTTGCAGCGATTTCATTAGGTATTACTAACCTCATTTTTAACCCAAGAAGTTAATGTCTTTTTTAAAAATTATTTTCTCAAAGTTTAATTATTTTGAAAGGCAGAGCAAAGCAAGAGAGAGGAAAAGAAGAGAGGAATGAGAATGGAAGAGATAGATATTTATTTTCCACGCTTTGGCTTCTCCCAGGTAGCTTTTCTCCTGGTTGCATTTCCTTAGCATCCTTTCACTGAATACTTCTTGGCGATGAGTATACAATATGCTGAGCCCACTAGTCAGCAGGTCCTAATTATTTCATAAGTAAATACAATGTCTGGTACTTCTTTTAGACAAAGATGTCAAAGGTGCTTCGAATTAGGAAAAATCTGGCTGTTTCTGGTTTTCCCTACAACAGTACTTTGACAATTATCAAACTGAAAAAGCTGCTTTAGGACTAGTGGTAGTATATTTCTTTTTTTAAAGAATTTTTACATATATTTTTTCTTGCTTGTCTTTCAGGTTAACTTAGTGAAGTAGGCATTGTAACACAGAAGGTTAACCCACAAATCAGGACAACTGTGTCCTAGACCAGAGGCCCAGACTGATTCCTGACTACCTTGCTTTCTGTGTCAGCTTCCGGCTAGATACGGCTGGGCTGAGCCTTAGCTGGGATTAGCATTTCAGCGTGACTAGTGAATGGAAAATCTCTCTTTCTCTGCCATTCTGTCTTTCAAGCACATGAATATTTTGTACATTTAAAAAATTATTTATCTTGAAAATAACCAGGGCAAGGAAAGAAATGGTTTTCAATATTAATATTCTTAATCACAAACATGATGTATTCTTCCACTAAGTAAAATTCTCATTTACTTTTCAATGACACAATTCCAATCTTTACAAGAAATATTTGGTTCAATCTCTTTACTTCATATTGAAGAAATATGAAAACATTTTAACTTCTTAGTGATTCAGTAAATATGAAAATCCTGGTCTTAATTTCTACAAAATTCACTTCTGCATCTAATGCAGAGGGTATTGAATGCTGGACCCCGAAAAGGTTTAAGATAGGTTCCACCCCTCAGTTTACTTGCCTTACCTGTTGAATGAATTCATCTCTTTGGTCCATTATTATTTTCTGAGGAGGTCCGTATAAGAAGAATATATTGATAATAGCTTTAGAAATTTCTGATGCCGAAACATCACACAGAGGTAAAATCACCACCCACTTTGTGAACCAATCTGTCATGATGATAGCATACACGTGACTTCTGCTGCTTGCATGGAAAGGCCCCGCCAGGTCAACAGTGACTACACTCCACGGGCTTTCCACCTTGAGAAGATGTTGTTTCGATGTTAGGATAACCGTATTTTTTGCCACTTGACAATGCTGACAAGCATAGACCTACAAACAGAAATACAATAAATGAGATAAGCATCTTGAGCACTGAAGATATGGTGTATTTTCAGTGTGCTCTTATTTTAAGAAAAATAAACGGGAGATTTGTAATAGATCATTCATGTATCAAGAGATACTCAGAAGTATGAATAAATACATATTCAAGGAATAGATCAGCATGCAGTTATGCAATAATTTCTAGAGCTAGAAGATGACCCCTCTATTCTGAGAGCATTATTAAAACACAATGCTATCCAAACAGTATTTATAGATGCCAGAAATTCCTCTGTGTCCTACGAAACCAAGAAGAGAGCAACATTTCACAAATCAGCAGTGCAGATCAGCTGACCTCCAAGCAGGGACATTACATTTCCTAGAAATTTTTCTATTAGAATATGCTGGAGATTCTAATAGTTTATAAAGTTACAAAACACAGACTGTCTTCACAATTTAATTCTGTGCTTTGCTATGGCTGGCATGTTTTACCTCAAGATGGACCTGGCTCAAAGTGAGAAACCATATGGTGCTTAACATTTCTTCTGAAGATTTATTTTTTTTACTAAATTAAGTCAGAATAAGCGAGAGAGAGGGAGGGAGAAGAGATTTCCCATTCACAGGCTCACTCTCTGATTGGCTGTTATGGCCAGAGCTGAGCCCGTTGGCAGCTGGGAGCCAAGAGCTTCTTCCTGGGTCATGAGTGCAGTTGCCCAAGGACTTGAGCCCTCCTCCACTGCTTTCCCAGCCCATAGCTGAAAGCTTTATCAGAAGTGAAGCAGCTGGGTCTAGAACCAGGAGCCATACAGATCGCCAGTGCCTCAGGCAGAGGATGAACTTGCTAAGTCACAGAGCCAGTTCCCAGGACCTACCTTCTAAACATACCACCTTCTACACAGAAAATCTTGCACGACCACAAAAGAGGTGATTCAGTCAGATGGATTTCAGTCTATATATAGCATTTCAATATTGAAAGCTAGTTTTGTGCCAAGAGTGATGGCTCAGTGTCTAAATCCTCACCTTGCAAGCACCGGGATACCATATGAGCACTGATTCGTGTCCCGGCTATTCCATTTCCCATTCAGCTCCCTGTTTGTGGCCTGGAAGGTAGTAGAAGATGGCCTGAAGCCTTGGAACCGTGCATCCATGTGGGAGACCCACAGGAGGCTCCTGACTCCTGGCTTCAAATCAGCTTGGCTCCAGACATCTTAATGTGGCCACTGGAGGAAGATCTTTGTCTCTCTGTAAATCTGATCTGCCTTTCCAATGAAAATAAACAATTGAAAAAAAATCCGGTTCTATATAATGCTATCTTCAAAAGTTTAAATATTGTCTTTTTAAAATTTAAATTCTACTTTAGTGATTTAAGATAATTGTGAAATATAAAACTCCCTTTACTTGAATGTATTTTATACAAAAACTACCTATAAAAGTACTTAATGAGGCATGATACCCAGGGTCAGTTTGGAGCAGTGATGAACTGTGAATATCGGAAAGCGAGCATTCCAGGTACACATAAGCCATACCCACTGTTTGACATCGTTGGTCACGGAGGTCCAATAGTAACTGGATTCCACTAAAGTGAGGGTTCTGGAGATGCCATGGTGAGGTCCAGGCTCATTTTCATGGCATTCTCGTAGGACTTTCTTTTTTTCCTCTTCGGAAACAATTACCAAGCGATTTTGTTTTCGGTCTTTTCCAACGTAAAACAGCTTTTTTTCTGGAATAAATGATACCAAAGAAATAACTGTAATTTTTAGAGATCTCTACAGTTTTAAGGTACTCACTGGCTTATGTCAGCCATGAGGATTTGTTTATTTGCTTCTGATAAAATCTTTCTTCATTTAGAACTGAGTATTTACTTGAGTGATCTGAAAGATCAGTTTTATCTCTTATTGTCTTCTTCTGACAGCTGTTATAGTTTTCTGGCTGTCACAACAAGGAGTTTGCAGTTTGTCCTTCGAAGCATGCTGCTGTATGCTTTCATACTTTCACTAACTGCTGGAGTATGAACTTATCTTCCCATGGGAAAATTCTTGCATGTTCCTCCAAAAAGTGGCATAAGTTAACAAGTTGGTGATGTGCTTACAACAGAGCTAAAGCAGTATTTTATCCTTACCAGTTTCATAGGCAAGCACTTATCTGATGTTTTTGAGGGAAGGGACAGTGACGTGAGAATGTGTGAGAACTTAGGTGCTAATGCTGTGTTTTCTTTAGAAAGATCCCGGAGACGAATCTGCATGTGGGAAGCAATCGGGGCACAGAAAGACGCAGCGCCTCTCACGCAGGGACAGGGTGGCCTTTCACACTCCAGCACATACCATTAAGCTACTGATGCACAGTGGAACATTCCTAACTGAAATCAGAAGGCAACCAACCTCAGGGCAGGAGCCATGCTGCTGCAGCTCATCACTGCACCCATCTCTAAAGCCTAGGATACGACTGGCACCTGGCAGAATCTCAGTAAAGACTTTTTTATGTAAATGATGAGAATTCTTACTTTAGTCTAAAAGGTAATGGGCCAGTCCTTTTGTGTTTTTGTTGCTAAGATCTATTTACCTGAAAGGCAGAGTTACACAGGGAAAGCCAGCTCTTCCACCTGTTGCTTTACTCCCCAGTGGCTGCAACAGTGAGGGCCTGGCCAGGCTGAAGCCTGGAGCTTCCTCCAGGTCTCCAATGTGGTCACCAGGCCATACTCTGTGACTTCTCCAGGTGTATCAGTACCGAGCTGGACTGGTGGTAGAGCAGCCTGGATTTGAGCCGGTACCCATATGGGATGTGGTATAGCAGACAGGGGTTTACCTGCTGTGTCACTGCACTTGCCCTGGCTGGCCTATTCCTAAGCAACAGGGAGTAACTGGCACACAGATTCAAAGGGACATATGAACAGGCATTCACCTTTTGTCTTAGAACTTTATCTGCTCTGGGCCCAGTGTGATAGCCTAGTGGCTAAAGTCCTTACCTTGCATGTGCCAAGATCTCATATGAATGCCAATTTGAATCCCCACTGCTCCACTTCCCATCTAGCTCCCTGCTTGTGACCAGGGTAAAAAGTGGAGGGTGGCCCAAAGCCTTGGGACCCAGTACCCACGTGGGAGGCCTGGAGGAAGTTCCTGGCTCCTAGATTCGGATAGGCGCAGCTCCGGATTGTGGTCACTTGGGGAATGAACAGGCAGATGAAGATCTTGCTCTCTGTCTCTCCTTCTCTCTGTATGTCTGCCTTTCCAATAACATAAATCTTCAAAACAAAAAAGCAACTTTATCTGCTCTGTGGGAAACCTAATATATCTATAAACAAAATTTCCTTTAATATGGCTAACATTCATTTACGCATGTGTTTACTGATTAGGTGTACCTCTTTCCTACTGCGTTCCGAATGCCTCGTCCCTTTAAAGGAGAAGGGAAAACAAAACAAAACAAAACAGGAGCCTCCCTCTAATGTTTCAAGATCAATATCCAATTGCTTTTCACATGCTCAGTCCACCCAGGACTCCAAAGTGGACCCACACATGAGTCGCTGAGACTGACGGAAGCGGAAGGGAGAACTCCGGAAATGGGCAGTTCCTTCAGCTGCTCAGTTTAGTAAGAGACTAGTCAGTAGTTCCTCCGAAGCCTCCCGTTGCTGCAGGCAGCGGCTTCCGTGTGGGCAGCAGAGCAGTCACGGGGGCAGCTCATTCAGGCAAATGCTCTGTCTTATGGCATGACATTATTTTCCATCTAGAATGCTTCTGAACCTTCAGCGTGACTTTGATCTTACTCTTGACCGAGTACCATCATGAAATGGACTGGTAATTACTTGGCAACCACTCACTGCCACAGAAACTCCTTGGATTCCATGGAGATGCCATGGGAAGAATCCAAAGATTTGGGGTATTAATTTTACCTTTGAAGACAAATTTTTTGGCTGCTCTTCTTATGCCACTTCTCTCACTTGGCAGCGTAGTTGGATGATATTCGCCAGTTCTCTTATAATATGCAATCTGTTTAAGATGAAGGTCACCATTTTTGCCCGTTCGGACCATCAGGAACCTAGGGAAAACACAAAGATAGAACTTGAACGCTAAGCTCATTCCATTGCTATTTTGATCCAGGCTTCTGTCATGTTTGTGCTTATGTATGAATTGAGCATTCCCAGAACAGTATCTGTGACGGAGATAATTGTGGGACAGAAAAGGAACAGAGTGATGAATAGGAGCTAAAATATTCAGACGCTATTGAGAAGCATCATGACAAATTATCTTGTCTCTTTCCACGTGGTAAAAAGTGCTGCAAATTTTCCACATATTGAGGGAAAAAAGGAAGCATACGTCAGCAGACTTGCTTAAAAGTTTCTAGCCACTGACTGAAACTTACTAATGAGATGATGGTCTTAGCTGACACTTATGATACTATGGGAGACAGTATGATTTTCTTCTTCTAAAGGGCATTTATTTATTTAAAACACAAAAATTACAGAGCGAGAAGGCCTCCATTTCTGGTTTATTCTCCACATGGCTGCAACAGCTATAGCTGGGCCAACCTGAAGCCATGAGTTCCAAACTCCATCCAGGTCTCCCACATGGGTGGCAGAGGCCCAAGGACTTGGACCATAGTTCTCTGCCTGCCGGGCCGTATCTGCAGGCACCTGGATTGCTTGGAGTGTCTGGGCTTGAATCGGCACCTAGACGGGAATGCAGGATTCACAGGCGGCAGTTTAACCTGCAGGGTCACAACACAGGCCTTCGCTATGTTTAAAGATGTTTACGATCATTGCAAAATACACACATATACTTGTTCAGATCATCTGTTAGATGTATTTTGCAGGCATTCAAATGATCAATGACAAAGAAGATACCTCGGAGCCAGAACACGCACTTTTAAAAAACTACATATAAACGTTTTCACAAACAGAAATAATTTTTTTTCCAGAAAGTAATTTTGGTCCTGTGAATATTATGTCAATGTTATATAAGAAAAAGCAAACTGGCTGTACTGGCAAAAAACAAAACAAAATCCATCTTTATTACACACCATGAGTAACTTGGGAAATGCTTTCATAAAAAAAGCAAAAGCAAAAAAGCCTTTTCTTTCCCATTTTCTTCTGGAAGCACTAGCCCCTGCTGGCTCCTTTGCTGCTGGCCTACCCCGACCCTCCCGCTGCAGCCCCATGCTTTCTCTCCCACTTGCACAGACCTTGACAGACTGCCTTTGTGGTTTTCCAGTAGGAACTGTCCCATGGGGGGCAGAGACAGACAAATCAGAACAAGGAGCCAGAGGGCAGGGTATTCACTTCCTAGCTGTTTGCCTGGACGGAGCGCAGCCCTCTGCAGCACAGCTCCTGTGGGGAGCCGGCCTGCCCTGTGTCTGTCCGGCCCTCACTGAAGCCTGGTTCAAGTCTTGTTTTCGACATTGCAGCCCCAGAGGCCTACTTGCTGTTAGTTTCCAAGCTTCTTTGTCTGTCCATACATCTGTAAGAGCTTCATAACATTTCTTAAAAATTTCAGATTGTATCCTCTGCTTCCTGATTGATGTGAATGCTTCTAATTCTGAAATTCTAAAAAAAGAAATGGCTTTTTACTGCCCGCTGCAGGGCCTGGGAGGGAGACTGAAAGAATGTGGAACTGTGGAGAGATTGGCGGGACAAAGCCAAACACACTGCCCCTGGCCATGGCTTAACAGCTGACCCAACACCTTCTAACATACAGCTCTCTCCACAGTCAGGAAGTTAACTTCTGACAGAATGCTAGTGTGCTTCTAATGCCCACTTCATTACAGGTTGGCATAAGGGTCAAGCCAACTGAAAGCACAGGGTCTGTCACTGCTAATAGTGACAGCTCCTACCCTACAAGAGCAGGGATTATGGTTTATAAAGTACTGTAAAACTCAACTACAGGTAAAAATAATGTGACGCATATTTTAAAATGGCTAGAAGATGTAACCTTCTTGCTATAAACAAATGACAAATGTTGAACGTGACGGATAGTCTGTCCTGATTTTAGACAATGGGCACAAAGACTGAAACATCACGTTCTATCAAACAGAATCAAAAGTGGAATAGAGGTATTACAAAATATTGTCCAATTCATTTCCAACTAAATAGTAAATGTGACTTTTCCATTTTATAATAGATGGCGGTGCCTCCGAATTAAAAAAATATATATATATAGTTTATGAGTTTCTAAAACATCTAAAAACAATGGTCTAGATTTTAAATCTTTCTACAAAAATAAATAAAACAGTACATTGCTGACATAACAAGTAGGTCACCGAAATAGAACAGACCCAAACATGCACGGTTAGCCAGCTTACAGCAGAAGTGCTAAGACAGCAGGCAGGGAGAGAGATGGCCTTTTCAGCAAGTGATACTACAACAATCTGATTTCTAGAAGTGGAAAAAAATAAACCTTAATCTTTTACCTCTGTTCTCCTACAAAAATTAATTCCACATAAATCATAAACCTAAATGTGAATGTCAAATGACAGGGCTTTGGGAAGAAAACTATGAGAAGTTCTTGAAAACACTGGGATAGCCCAAAATCCCAAAACAGGACACAAAAAAACATTATTCATGGAAGAAAAAAAAATTGTTACAAATAGGACTTTATCAAAATCAGAATTCACTGAAAAACAGCAGCAATGCAAAAAGGTAAGTGACAGACTGGGAGAAGGGATCTTGTAAATAAAGAGGCAGAAGGAATGCTCACGCAGCACACGCAGCTGCTCTGACCTTGGCAGCAGGAGACGGTAAGAGACAGAAACACTAAAATATACCCAGTCAGTTAACAGTCAAACCAGGCAAGTGCAATCAGACTGCAATAAAAATGGTTCCGGCTCCTGTCATTCAGCCATGAAGCAAGAAGCGGCATGAGACTCCACCACAGAGCTAAAACAATCTTCCCGATCACCTGGTAACTGCCAGTCGCCACACAGGAGATACTACACTGAGCAAGACCTAGGAGACGACCCGAACGAGCTCATCAAGATACAATCAGGCTTTTATTTTAGTGCAAAAAGTTTTTGAATTTCATGCACTTTTTACATAGCTTATTTTCATTTCAAAGGCTGAGTCACACACCCACAGTCTTCTATGTGCTGGTTCATACCCCAAGTGGCTGTAATGGCTGAAACGGGGCACTTGGAAGCCACAAGCTTCTTCTGGGTCTTTCACATGGGTACAAGGCCACCCACAGCAGGGAGCTAGAGCATAAGTGGAGCCAAGAGGGACCCTTTTGGGATGCTGGCATTGTAGGTGGAGGCTTAACCCACGATGTCACGGTGCAGGTCCCTTGGTTTTTTATAATACACACTTCCAGCAACTTTCTGAATATTTCTTTGGATTTGTCATGTTTATAGCTGTTTTATTTACAATAGCAGAAGCAACCCAGTGGTTCACCAACACAGGGATAAACAAACACAATGCTCAAATACAAGGAAACACTGTTCAGCCTGAACAAGCAAGCAGATTGGCATGTATGCAGCACTATGGATGAACCTCGAGGAAGTTACAGGAAGTGGAATAAAACAAATCACGGAAAGATGCGGGATTCTACCTATGTGAAGTATTAGAAACTTACGCCCAGAGACAGAAATGAGAGTGGTGCTGACAAGCTGACATACGGAAGCAGGCAAAGGAGCATGACTGGTTAATGGGTACAGGGCTTCACAGCAGACGGAGAGTTCTGGAGAACAGTGGGGATTGTTCCAGCAGTCTCAATGTGCTCCATGCCAATGGACTGAGACAGCCTCCAATTAACATATCTCACCATCAATTAAAAGATTATTTTTGCTTTCTTTTCGAAAAATTTAACTTTAAAAGAAGGGTTTCTGGAAGAACTAGCAATGGGGAAACGTTACATGCTTGACGCTTTGATGCTCCGAGATGGCAGCCTAGGATGGCCTCCAGTCCACCGAGGGTACCAGCTTGTGTGCTGACTTTGTCAGCAAGGCCTTGGCATGTCTGTCAATGAGGATTCTATTGTAAACAGTAGAAGTTATTTCTCCCTGCAATACTATGAGCGAATTCTCAGGTAGGCTTCTGCGAGGGCCCTTCCCACCCCTACAACGAGAAAAAGCTGGCCAAACTCAGTAAGATGACCATGTTCCCCGACTTATTCCCAATCAGAAGCCCCGCCAGCTCGTTCGTATAGATAGGGCGGTTTTAAAATTGATACTCAAAATGCAAGACCTGGGAACTGTTAAAACAAGCTTGCAAGATGAACACAGCTGAAGAACCTCACATTCCTGATTTAAAGGCCCCCAATGATGCTGATAATCAAGACCTGTGCTGCTGGCTAGGCCGCAGATCATGTAACAGCAGTGCTCAGGCACGGCAAACTCATTTGCAACAAAGGTGCTGAGTTAATGTAATGGAGAAAGCATATTCCGTTGAATAAATGCTGAATATCCCCATGAAGAAAAAGTGAAGAGATGAACAGGTTATAGACCTAAATGTACACCTACGATTGCAGAACCTCCATAAGGGGGGAAAAAAAAAGTATTTGTGACCTCAGCACAGGCAGCAATTTCCTACAGAGCAACAAAATACAGTGGCCAGTAAAAAACAAAAAAACAAAAAAACCTAGAACTTAAGTTTCTTTAAAGGTACAGTTCAAAGAAAGTAAGAGAAGTCACAGCTGGGAGAAAACACTGGGCGTACATCTGTATGTAGCATTTATAAAGAAAGCTCAGAACTTTACAAAAAATACAAATAATCCCAATTAGAAAAGGGGCAAAAGATTTCAGACACTTTGTCCAGTAAGAGTTAGCAGGGACACAGCTGGCAAGTGATGGCTCAATGTTATTAGATTATGGAAAAGCGTGGATTAAACCCACAGAGGCCTGCTGTACGAATGAGAGTAACGCAAGCCTGATAATAGCAAAATAGAGCTCTGCTGGTGAGAACGCGGAAAGGCGCAGCAAGTAGGCTGTGTTTGGGAAGGTGATGGCTTCAGGGTGAAGACTTTCAGGTGTGTGACAGTTAACTAGACCTCAGTATCTGTGTTTGGAAAACAGACATCACCTCCGTCCTCTATTTTCATATTCATGATAACGGGACAACAGGTGTGGAAACCCCTTCATGACAGGTCAAGCAACAGATAATTATCATATGTAAGTATTAGCACCCTCACCAGGCTGTTTAACAACCCTCTCTGTTCTCAAAAATTTACCTGTAAAGAAAAATACCTCAAAATCTCCTTCCCTTCATTAATTGTGATACGTTTACAGCAATGGCTACTTGTGGTATTACCAACAACTAAACCCAGAAGAATCAGGCATACCTGTGAGTGATTTTTACAGTAATTCACAGACTGCTTGTTGTGAAGATAGAAAACGAGCAAGGGCAAGTAGAAAATGCTGAAGAAAAGTCACTTCAAACATAATTACTTAAATAACTGGTTTAAAGTGCTGCTAATATTTTGACTTAGGTATAACAGTAACTTTAGGAACAAGCAGGGTTTTTTTTTTTTACCCTTTTTCAAAGACCATTCAACACGTGGTCCCTAAAAGAGCATGCATTTGTGAGGTACACCTGCGAAAAGAGTTTTAAACTGTACTATTCAGGGCCAAGTTCATAAAACAAGATCATTAAGTAGAGGTGAAATTTTTAAGGGAGACGAATTGGCTTCAATCACATAAACGAAACCATCCCTGATTGGATGCATTGGCGTTTTCAAGAGATCAGGTTTTAGAAAAGGTACTGCAGGAGGCTGCTTGCAACTTACACGTCCTGCCAGGAATGTCGGGCTCTCTGCTGGCGCTTTGTGACACTAACTCGCTGCAACGCGCTCACACCTGCCCAGGCTAACGGACCGAAGCCCAGGTGGTGATCCACACACCTTCCCCCTCGCAGGCTGCAACGTTGCCAGAAACCAGGGTCATTGGATTTCGACTTTTCCTCTTGAAACACGGGCCACCTGCACCTTTTCCACAGAATCCCGTAGACAGGGAACCCCAAACATACCACTCCCTGGGGGCGGACACACACACACACACCCCCAAGACGCCCAGGACCGAGGGGTCCCCCGCGTGGAAGCCACATCCCCACTGGGGTTCAGACACGTCCGTTCAAGGACAAGCCAGAGACACAAATGGCCATTTTATGCACACCCCCCCACCCCATTGTAACTTAGCGGCCAGCGTCGTCCTGGGGCTCCCCTCTCTTCCCGCCATAGGGTGGGGGTGGGCTGGATGGTATCTCGAACGGGGACGCAAAACGCCATAATCCACCACAACGCTCAGGAGCCAGAAAAATGTCTAGCGTCCGGCCAACGCCTGGGGTCTCTGACGCCACTTTTCAAGGCTCGTGAACCGACTCTAGCTCAACTCAAGCCTTTCACTGCGAACGACCACCAAGTACAGCGGGACTGGACGGCCGGGGAGCCCTCAGGGCGCCTGCGCAACGTCTCCCCCGACTCCAGCCAGCCTTCCCTCTCACGGCCGGGAGGCTACAGTCAGGTTCCACTTGTCTTTAAACGGAAGTATGAAAAAAAAAAAAAAAGAGGCCTAGAACGACCGCTCACCGAAATGGTCCTAAATGCAAACGACACGATTTAAAGCGTTCTCCCCCGCGACTTATGTGGCGCTGCCGGAAGCGGAACTCCACCCGGGTCGGTTATGAAGAGGGAACTCCGTCCTTTGACTGGATGTAAGAACCTCAGTCCCCGGAAAGGTGAGGGTGGGAACGTTTGGCTCCTGCCGGAAGTGGCGCGGCCCGGCGCCTTTTCCGTGTGAGTCCCGGGGCGGGCGGGGAAGAGGCGTGTCTGAGCTTCACGCGGTGGTGTGGTCCTTCTTAAGGCGCCTCAGGGAGACCCTGCGGGGGCTTCGGAGGGCAGGAGACCCACGCTCCCGCCCGCAGCTGAAGCCCCTGCCCGGCCCTCGAGTATCCAGAAGGGGGAAGCGGGACACTTGGATGCGCTCTGCCGACTGTAGCAGCGGCAGGTGAGGGCCTGCGAGCGATGGAGCACCCGAGCTGCAGCGCGGGCTTCTGTTGTGTGAATGTATGTGTGTGTGTGTGCTGTACGGGCCCCCATCCCGCGCTGCAGGTGCTGGGTGTGCTGTGCGGGCCCCCATCCCGCGCCTGCTGCTCCCAGGAGCAGGGGGTGGGGTGTGTGTGTGTGTGTGTGTGTGTGTGTGTGTCTGACAGTTCCACCCCGAGGGTCCTGCGGCGTCTTCTCCAGCATCCCTCACCCCCCTGCGTCGTTTCCCCGTCCTCATCTCTTGGAGACGCTGTGCCTTAGGAAAAGGAAACTGCCCGGCTGTTCTCCTTCCCGAAGCTGCGGCGATTTTCAGGCCCTGGGAAGTCGCTGGGGCGTTCCGCAGTGTGAACCTGGTTTGGCGGGGAGCGTGGCATCCTCCTGCCTTGCGCGGGAGGAAGCTGGCATGACCTTCGGAGCCCGGGCGCGAGTCCCTCCCTGACTTCCTGGGTGTCCCTCCCCACCCCTTGCCAGAGCTTACACAAAGGCTTCAAGCTGTGGGAGCATGGCTGGCTGGAGCAAAGCCTCGGCTTGGCTGCTGCAAGTGTTTTCAATGAACTAGGTAGCTTTTGTTTCAGGCAGATGAAAAACAGAGAGCAGCTGTTAACTAAATTATCAACCGTGCCGGCTGCTTCAGGTATTTTCACAGCAATTCCTCTCAACAATCCCCTGATATTATTACTTCCATTTTACCGAGTTAAACCTTGAGGTCAAGTAACGAAATGACCTAGTTTGTCATAGGAACTACATCTGACTGCAAAGTCTGTGTTCTTCATTGTCTGGCCATTATTCTCGCACAGTTGTCACTTCCTCACCCGAGATTTCAATGGCTGAAAGAATTCGTTAGAAAAAAAAAAATGGTGTGCTTGCGTGTTGTGACACTCGACAGAGCTGCCTTGTGCCTCCTGGAGCTGGAGTGTTGACACGTGCAGAATCCGCCCGTGAACTTCACTGCAGTGCAGGCTTCTGCGCGGGTGGCTCAGTCTTGTGTAACCGGAGTTTGCTGCCCAAGTGTGACAAGTGATGGGGCTTGCAGGGCAGTGACGAACGGTGCAACCTTTGTACATTACTGTGTACTTAGCTAAGCAGTGAGCATGTGTGGTAAGGTCTTTGTTTTCCAAAGACTCCCCGGGACTGCATTTAGCGTGGCACAGTGTTTGAATTCTGTTAAGGGGCAGTGATATTGTGGTTGCGTGGAAAGACGCAACTATAGTTTTGGAGTTGTTTGAAGCCCACAGCTGATGGTCAGATGGTGCCATAAGTGTGTGTGGGTGTGCATAAATAAAAAGTGAATATGGCCAAATGTTGATAACTTCTGAAGCTAGTTACAAATGGCTAGATGTCTAGTGGACTGCTCGTTCAGCTTTTCTGAATGTTTGAAAATTTTAAGGGAAGTTTGTGGGAGAACAAACGACTTCGAGCGAGGTGGGAAATTGCGACTAGAGCTCTTAGGTGCTCTGGAGGGTGGAAGGCCTGAGAGGATTCTCTTGTACTTTGAGGCGGGTGGGGATGACCAAGGTATGACAATCACAACAAAGCTACTAAAGCTCATTCTTTTGATCACTTAAGGCGTAATGGAAATGTGCAAGGAGAACCATGAACTACCTCCCCCACCCCCCCACCCCGCCCCGGCAAAAGGAAGTGCAAGCTCAGCAAAATGGTATTGTGTAAATGTTTGAAGAAGAGAGAAATTATTTCGTGTGATGTTTTGGTTGAACATGAGCCGTTTCTGTATAAGCAAGCTTAGAAATACCGCTGCTTTGCTTTATAGCCGAGGGCAGCCAGGTGGTGTCTTGTTCAGGCAGCTCTCTGTGAAACCATCTTGTTAAGATAACTGAGAGTGGTTGGGAATGCAGCCCTCTGGTGTAACAGTGTATCCACTGGGGAAATGCTTTCCCCCCTCAGGGAGACTGGTTCCATTGCCCCCGTTCAGGCTGAGCAGTAGGAGTTGGAGTTCCTTTCTCCCGACTTCGGGAAATTGAAAAGTAACCAATTTGAAATATTTTTCAAGTACAGTTTGGGAAGGGGAGGCTAGAAATACTATGAATGGGATTTGTTGATGGTCCCAGGTGTTAGACGTTGTGGGTTAGCTCTGATCAGGACCAGTTAGAGGCGAGAAGGAGGAGCCTTGCTCTCAGCCAGTGGGGCAGTATTCTTGAGAAACTGGCTGGTAACACTGAAGGGATGCAAATGAGGTCTCCAGCAGCAGCTGCGACCAGGAGTTCTTGCAGCTTCACCAAATCCGAGGTAACTGCGTGGTTCTAAATTGCATTGTAACAGCCGTTAACATGAGCAGCTTGATACGTGATGATTGCATTGCATTGTCTTGGAAACTTAAATGTATGGATTTGTGATCCCAGTTTAGAGGTAGTGGTTAGAGATATTAATAGCTAGTGTGAGAACATAGTTTAAGAACGTCTAGAAAAAGCTTTCAAGTTTAGTTTTGTTGCAGTTCACAGTAGTGGTTCGTAAAGTGAGATTGGAGAACAGTAACAACATCACGTCGGAATTTTAGGAAAAGTGAGGTAATGTCATTCTCCTTTCCCTCCTCAGTTTTTCACGTCCTTAACAAGGCCTGCTTAGAGATCCTCTTGCACACTCAAGCTTCACCACCACCCTAAATGTAGATACTTCTGGAACATTCTACAAAAGGGGTAAGTCCTGTTTTGCACAGGTTCCTAGAAACTCCCAAATCTGACTGCTCATCTGTTTGTTAAATGTACCTAGGTCTTCTAATTATGAATTAATTGCATAAGAATCTTTGTGGGGCCCAGCACAGTAGCCTAGTGCCTAAAGTCCTTGCCTTACTCTTACACATGCCCGGATCCCATATGGGCACTGGTTCTAATCCCAAGCCCCCATTTCCCATCTGGCTCCCTGCTTGTGGCCTGGGAAAGCAGTCGAGGATGGTCCAAAGCCTTGGGACCCTGCACCTGCGAGGGAGACTGGGATAAGAGGCTCCTGGCTCCTGACTTTGGATTCGTGCAGCTCTGGCTGTTGTGGCCACTTGGGGAATGAATCATTGGATGGAAGACTTTCTTCTCTGTCCTCCTCTCTGTATATCTGACTTTGCAATAAAAGTAAAATCTTTTTTTTTTTTTTAAGAAGTTTGTGGTAGGCTCAGGAACAAGTGTGTTTACGCGTCCTTTCCTTTTTTTAAGATTTAGTTTTATTTCCAAGGCAGGTTTTACAGGGAGAGAAGGAGAAAGAGGTCTTCCATCTGTCAGTTCACTCCCCAGATGGCCTCAGTGGCTGGAACTGAGCTATCTGAAGGCAGGAGCTTTTGCTGGATCTCCTACATGGGTGCAGGTGTCCAAAGACTTGCGTTGTCTTCCACTGCTTTCTCATCGGGGAGTTGGATAGGAAGTGGAATAGCTGAAACACAAACCTGCAACTAAATGGGATGCCAGCACCACAGGCAGAAAGTTAGTGTGCAACACCATCATGCTGGCCCTGCCAGAGTTCTGAAGGACCGAGTTCCTTTCAGGACCACTGCTGTAGAAGGGATCGTAAAGGTTCAGCTCTGGTATTTGAAGAAAGTATTTGTTTTTAAGGCCAAGTGGTTAGCATATTTTGGAATTCCTGATGCAGACCATACTTGATTCAATTGTCAGGGTATTATGTAAAATTTAAATATTTTGGGTATCTTTCAATTCCCATTAAATTATGTCTTGTAGCAATATGTGACAGGTGGGAGAGTTCTCTTCGGGGCTTTCCGTCTTGCATCTCGGCATCCCTGCTATGCTTCGGCCTCTCCCGTTCCTTAAATGTGGAGACTGTCAGACGGGCTCCCACACCAAGGCCCTTGGGTCTCTGCCTTGTGGAGCTCTGAGTCCCTCGTTTAGCTTAGATTTCTGCCAGTTAACAACTTGTTAGAGTCTTCTTCCACACTTCTGTATTGACTTGCGCCTTTCTCTACATGAAGGCTGTCGACTTGCCAGATCTAGGTTCCTAATCAAATGAGGTCTGTATATTTCTGTGCATTCTGTACTTGACATAGGATTAAACACTGAAATAACTTCCCTGGAGGAAAGGCACCTGTCAGTCAGTAACGCATATTGTTAAAAGCCCTGTGGCATATACATTTTTTTTTTCCCTCTAAAAGTTGATTTCACAATTGTATCTTTGGTGTAAAGTATTTTAAAAATGTGGGAAAATGTATACTGAAGTTCTAGCAGGAAAGAATACACAGCAGTCTACGACCAAGAACTACAGGCCTTCGTTCTGCCGCTGGATCATGGAATGATTTTTTTTAAAACTATGAATTCCAGACCTTTCATAATGAATACTCCAAAATCCAAAAGTATGTAAAAATTAGTTTTCAGCTCTACCTCTAGCAAAAAACATTTGCTGTTACAAGAATACCTAAACTAGAAGGAAAAACGGTTTTAAAATTGTTCATGAAATACGCACATACTGCGTGGACATGTCTAAATACTTGTGTATCTGCTGCTGTGAGTGTACGATGACGTGCTGGGTTTAGCATATCCATTAGCACCTTTCTGTTTGTTTTACGCAGCACATGACCTGTCCACTGTTGACGTGTCAGAGCTATGTTTAGAAGGAAAGGATGAAAGGGAAGCGAGGAAAGCTCTGGGTATTGTGTGCACAGCAGAGCTCAGATCAAGTTATCCATCGCCAGCGAGTGTCGCAGCTATTGAAAACTTCATCAGTGCATGCCTTTGAATGTTGAATAGTGGAAAAAGAGGGGCTCGTGTTGTGTCCCAGCCATTTTAAGCCAATGTGTACAATGCCTGCACCTCTTGTCGGAGTACTGGTTCGGCTTCACTTCTGAAACAGTGGCCTGGCTGATGCGCTGGGAAGGAAGACAGAGATGGCCAAGGTGCTTGAGTTTCACCTTCCCTGTGGCAGCCCGGGATGGAGTTACTGGCTCAAGACTCCAGCCTAGCCCAGATTGGACTGTGGAAAACATTTGGGGAATAAACCTTTAGTTATAAGATCTCTCTATGCCTTTTAAATAAATTAAATAATTTAACAGTACAAAGATACTAAAAACAAAAGGCATTGGTTTATCAACTATTTCTTCATTGTTTAAATGTAAATTGTCTTAAATTCCGTAACCCTGTGTTTTCAATTTGGCTGGAGGAAAGGCTGACTGCTGAGCTGGGTTTAGTGTCTTGTGGAGATCGAGCCATTCAACCAGCTTGGGGCTTTCAAATTAGCATTTTTGGAGTTAGGCAGTGCTGCCTATATTTCCTTGGTTCTTAAGAGTATTTAATCAAGTCATTTCGTACATTACCAATAATCAAATGAAGCATTTGATGATGGAGATTCATCTTGGTAGATAATTGATGTGTAAACAATTTAGTTCAGGAAAGTTTTACAATTATGTTACTACTGTGTAATAGTTAAGTCCTTAGCTTCTTTAGATTGAAGAGCTATTGTTAGAATGAATTGTTATTTTCACTGTGATTTTTGTTTATGAGTGAGAACAAAGTATAGGTTAGGTTCCCTAAAAAACCTATTTACAAATTGAACTGAACTTTAAAATTTATTTATTTGAAAAATAGCAGACAGATTTTCAATTCTCTGGTCTATTTCCCAATGGCTGCAGTAACCAGGTTTGATCCAAGATGAAGCCAGGAGCCAGGAACTCCATCCTTGCCTCTCACATGGATAACAGGCTCAAGAGCTTTGGCTATGCTCCACTGCCTTACAGGAGCATCGGAAGGAGTAGGTCTACCATAACACAAACCAATAAGAAAAGCAAAAGGTAGCTTAACTTACTGTGCTACAACACTGGGTATGCTAACTGAATGTTTATAGGTTTATGTCATCTCAGATTAATGTTCAATTTTCAGTGTGTTTCCTTTTATTGGAAAGGCAGATTACAGAGAAGGTGAGACAGAAAAATCTTCCATCCACGGGTTCACTCCCCAAATGGCCATAATGGCCGGAACTTAGCCGATCCGAAGCCAGGAGATTCTGCATCTCCCATGCGGGGGCAGGATCCTAAGGCTTTGGGCAGTCCTTGTTTGTCTTCCCACGCCACATACAGGGAGCTGGATGGGAAACAGAACAGCCTTGACACGAACTGGCTCGGATATGGGATCCCAGCTCTTGACAGAGGAGGATTAGCTAATCAAGCCATTGTGCCTGGCCCTCGGCGGCTTTTAAATTCACTGTGTTTTATTTATTTCCTGTTCATATTTTGGAAATTTTAGTGATTTTTTTTTTTTTTTTTTTTAGTTTGAGAGGCAAAGGTTTTATGTGCCAAAAGATTTAGTTTAATGTAATTTTTAAAAGATGTCAATAATTCTAGCTTTTTTTGTGAGAAATTCTCAGGCTGGAGGAACTTAAGACACAATTTTTAAAAATTATATCAGTTTATCAAATTGTGATGCTGGGTATTGCTGAATTGCAGAATCCTAATTTATGGAAGGAAAATATTTGGTATACATCATGTTCTTAATATTGATGGTATCATATGTCATCAAAAATTATCTTTATGTGAAGGCTTAAAGTGCATTCTCTGAAATTAGTGTTCTTGTTATTCTTTAGGCAAAACGAGTGCTGTCTGAATTTGGGTGAGCAGCAGTGGGCGGCGGCGGCTTCGATGCCAGCAACGCAGCGGTAAGAGCTGAGGACCGAGGAACGTCCGCCAGCTGCCTGGCATCGCGTTGTCAGGTGTCTGTGTAAGCAGAGACGGCTGCGCGGAGCTGGGTGTCTGCCAGCAGAGAGAGAATGCTCTTTCCTAATACTAACCTTGTCATAGATCCTTCATGTTACACCTAAAATCAGTGAAATAAACATGAGCGAAGCCCCCAGATTCTTTGTCGGGCCTGAAGATGCAGAAATAAACCCTGGAAGTTGCCGACATTTCTTCCACCATGCAGATGAAGAGGAAGAGGAGGAGGATGAATCTGTAAGTGTGTTTCTTTGAGAAGACCGACCCAGTGCAGGCCTTTTATTAATTACTGATAATGTTGACTGATGCAGTGAACTTCAGACTTTTTTACGTACGCATTTGTGAGAACTTTTTTCTTTTAAAGAAAAAGGTGCATTTTATTTCATGAGTAAACTTCTTGAATCTATTGTGAATCCAGTATTAACATAAAATATCCAGGTTGTTTGGGGATGCCCGTTTTAGTTTCTTTCTGTGATAAGCGTGTTCTAACTTGGGATTAGATTTTTAAAAGTTGGAGATTGATGTAGGCCATAGGTCAGAAGGGCTTTGTTAATGTAAAAACCCATCGCAGATACTTCAAGACAAATTGAAGTTGATTTCAAAGTTGTGAAAAGTAGGACAGTCTAACGGAGTTGGTGATCATGTTGTCGGTGCACGTGCTGTTAGCTGCCGCTCTCGTATTTATTCACTACTCGGAGGTGTGCAAACAGGAGCCAGGACGAAGGGTTGCCCCGACACGTGTGTGTAAAGGTTGTTCTCTAATTGATGCTGTATCCGTACTGGATGTTAAGAATGTCACACGTGTCATATTCTGTTTGCCATAGTTATTTCAGCCCAACATTTTCCTTACTCCTCATTTGTTTAGAGATTGCTGTATGCTGAAAACTGATAGAAAACACAGACCTTAAATGTGTTTTACTTTTTTTGTGATTCAAATTGAAAAGAAAATTAAAAAAAAAACCCTATTGCATGTTGTTAAAATACTAAAAGCAAACAGTTAAATAGCAAACAAGCTAGCTCTGAGTATAACTCTTGGTCACATTTTTGTGATGCTGTACAGATCTGAAAGGCTGCCACTTGTAATGGTTACTCATCATCGGAAGATGCTGATTGTCAGGTTTCTCTTACCAGGGAAATCTTTTCTTCCTTTAACCTCCATGGTATCTACAAGCCCTGAAGGTAACACAGAAAGGCAGGGCCCCTCTGGCTTGTACTGCCCTCAAGGCTGTTTTCAGTCCTGTTTCTGTAGCCCTGTCATTTTAGTGACACTCTGCCCAGATTTTGCATCCTCCATGTTCTCTACTCTCCTTTGCCTCGGGACAGACTTGAACTTGATGTATCTGTGTTTGTACCTGAATGTGAACTCCCCAGAATAACTGAATGTTGATAGGAAAGCCTGAGCCGCTCGTGGACGGCTTGTTGTATTCCTTCCCGTGTTGCCAGGCATCGGCAGCGCCATGACATAGAAATGCTGAGTGCAAAGGTAGTCATGAGAAAGGACCTCGGCGTTGTTAGCCATGTGGCTTTCATTAAAACTTGCATCCAGGCTGTTGGTGGTAACCAACTAATAGTCAAGCTCAATGGAAAGAAAAAAGGCTAAGGAGAGTATCTTTGTAGTCACAATTATGCCTTGCATTAGGTAAGAGAACATATATCACAGGTTGGCCTTTCATACTTATTTGGAAGAATTAGGGCCCTTGCACTGCTCTTTTCTGCTTAAAGACGGTAAATATGTAGTAGACGGCAATAAGGAGGACTTAATTTTGAGGCTGATTGAAATTAGTAACAATGTTTTGAAAATATTTTTTCCCCAGACATTTAGAATAAACCATTTTGTCTTATTCATTATAACAATGGAATGATTCTTTAAAAAATTTTATTGGTAGATTAACATGTTACTTTTATTCTCATTTCATATACTTCTGAAAAAAAATTCAGGTAGCTATACTTTGGAGTTCATGTTACATCAATGATATTCTGTTTTGTTTCTATTTCAGCCACCAGAAAGGCAGATTGTGGTTGGAATATGTTCTATGGCAAAGAAATCCAAATCCAAACCCATGAAGGAAATTCTTGAACGGATCTCCTTATTCAAATATATCACAGTAGTAGTGTTTGAAGAGGAAGTTATTTTGAATGAACCAGTGGAAAACTGGCCTTTATGTGACTGTCTTATTTCTTTCCATTCTAAAGGTATTAAAGGGTGGGGAACAAATCCTTTTTTTTCTTTCTAGGTATAGAGCTCATATGTATTCCTTATATAATATTTGATAAAAATAAATTGAAGCCTGTTCTCACAGTTGATATAAATGTTTTGACACATTTCTATCAGTATTTTAAGGGGAAAAAAAATTAGTGTCATAGTGTATGTGTAATTTTATGTTTAGCTATTTTCACTATGACATGAGATTTTTTTGTCTAACATTTCAATAACCTGATTTCTACTGTGGCCTATTGTATCATCGCATGAATATATGAAATCATATTTGGGTGAATTTATTTAAAACTAAGGTGTGATAACCACTTCCATCTCTAAATTTTCTGAGAAATTCTTTAGTTCTTTAATATTTTGAGCCTATGTTTTTGCCATTAGGAAGATGAATTAGCCTTCATACACATACTTACTTTATTTAAGAACTTAGTGTTTGAAATTTTAGGTCTTACTTGCTGTGCTGTATTTATATAATCATTAGGAACTATTATATAATAAAATCCACTAATCAAATTATTTCTACATATATATCTGAACTTATAACCCAAAATAATGTCAGCCAAGGGAATTTACCATTAAATATAATTTGAAACAGCAACTCGGGTATAAATGTATCCATATCTAATTGCACTTGTTACCGCTACAGGCAATCCAGAGGTAAGTCAGACTAGCAGGGGAACATGGACATGGTTAAGACTGTCTGGGCTTCCCTGCCTTTCGGAGGACCTTAACCTTTGCTTCTGGAGAGTGAACTGTTCTCCCCTTACTGTCCACGTGATTTGTCTGTGAAAACTATCTGCTATAACAGACTTTGGTGTGCAGTCTTTGGGAGGTGACATAGACAACAAGACAGGAAATGGGCAGTGTAGGTTTTTTCTAGCTGCTCATTGTTTCAAGGAGGCTGTAAATCCTTGACATTGAGACATGATACAAATGAATTATTCTGAGATTTTCTAGAACTTGAGGATTTATCGCTTGTGGCCAAGTGGTTCTTGGTATTGAACACTAGTGTTTAAATGTTTAAGAGGAAATTGAAAACATTATTGAACTGATGATGGCTTTTATAAGCTTTTTTATATATTAGTATACTATAATGCTTCTATTGTCATGCTACAAAATACAGTGTCTACAAAAATATACTTAGTATTCTGCATTTCTAACATACCTCCCTACTGATTGTTATCTTGTCCAAGGATAAGATAATCATTAAAATAGTCATTTAAGAATAAAGTGCTTATTAAAATATTATCACTTAAGAAGTAATAGCATGTAATGTTCTAAGCACTTGTTAGGCCAGGTACTGTGCTAAGTGCCTTATGTACCATTATTTAATGGCTTGTGAACCCTACTAGGAATTGCTGATTATTAAGCTCATTTACAGCAAACATTGGAGGCTTAGGGGCCCAAGATCACATAGCTAGTGCAAGCTGGAGCAAAGGTTTGAAGACTGATGAGTCCCCTAATTGCTGTAGTGTGGCATTTCTACTAATAGTACATACTGATGGATAAAATTCAGAAATCTTATTGTCCATATAGAAAGTAAAATGTATGTAAAGCACTTTAAAAAGTTTAATCCTTTTTACAACTTTCATTGGGTTTATTTCAATCTTATTGGTGAATCTACCAAAGTTTACAAATTGTAGAGTAACTTGTTATCTTAGCATTGACTTAGCAGTAAAACATTTCAAATGCTGAGCATAATGTGGCATGTCAAGTAATTTTTGCTTTTCTATACTTCAACGATGCTGAAGTTCTTTGAGTATTAGCTGATATGTATAGACATGAGAATAGCAAATGAAGTTATATGTTAAGTATTTCTTAAATCACCATGTAATTTTTATATATGTAGTATTAGTTTTACTTCCTGTTAGGTGGCTGGATATTCAGGCATTGCCTGATGTGTTGTGCTGTAAATATGGTTATGCTTATAACCCCTGGCTCCTGGTGCCAATCAATAAAATTAGCTAGGAAATAGATCCACTAATATACAAAGAATCTAGGTTCACTTACATAGTATTGCACTGTTTATGAAAGATAGTTACATGTGTAATGAAATTATTTTATAAAAAGTGGCATGAATTCAAGTTAAAAGTATAAATGTCAACTTAATCTTGAGATTGTACAAAATATCTTCATATGTGTTCTTAGGATTTCCACTGGACAAAGCAGTTGCCTATGCAAAACTCAGGAATCCATTTGTAATCAATGACTTGAATATGCAGTATCTCATACAAGATAGGTGAGTGGTAAAGCTGACGGAATTAAGAGAAGGAAAGTTGACACTTGTTTAGTAGCTCTTGTATGCGGACATTAAATCAGGTGTTTTCACACATGGTAATTCATTATAACTTCAGCAATATAAGGAGCATCAAAATGTTCATGTAAAAATCAGAGCTTTTATGTAAAACTTGCAAAATTTATGCATAGTTTTTATTGCATACATTTTTTGTGAACATTTTGAAATGTCCTCAGGTGCATGGTTTTCATAGTTTTTTTTTTAATGCCAGAATAAATCTTTAACTTCATTTTCTACAAACTTTTTGAAGTATTCTCATACTCAGAAATAATATTTGCATGTTACCTAATTATATAGATATCATAAAAATCAATCAGTTATTCCAAAGTTATAGGTACCTCCTCAGTATTGGGACAGAGATTTATGGATTTATGTCACATTTGTTTAATTTTTTTTATCTTTTTTTTTTTTTTGGTAAAGATTTACAGAGAAGGAAAGACAGAAAAAGATCTTACAGATGCTGGTTTACTCACCAAATGGCTGCAATGGCCAGGGCTGAGCCAATCAGAAGCCAGAAGCCAGGAACTTCCCCTGTGTTCCCCAAGAGGGCGCGGAGTCCAAAGGCTTTGGGCCATCCTCCACTGCTTTTCCAGGCCACAAGCAGGGAGCTGGATGGGAAGTGGAACAGCAGGGACGTGTACCAGCGTGCACATACATGGGACCCTGGTGCTTACATGGGGGGAGGATTAGATAATTGAGCTATCACATTGGACCCTTGTTTAATTTCTAAGGCCTACTAAACTGTTGAAATTATGAACAATTTTTCCATGATTTGACTGAGAATAAATTTCAGATTTTATAATTTTAAAATGAGGTAGTACACACCCAATTGCACTGTATGTTATTTTCATTCAACATACCAAAAGCATGAGTTTCTAAAAGAAATAATAAAATGATTGTATTTATGTATTTCGTTTGTTTTACATTGATAGCTATTTGCATTATTTTACCAGCATTCTATTCTTACCACAAAATGAAACTATATATGTGAAATTCCTATAGAAATACCCTGATTTTTCTTTTTTTTTCTTTTAAGGAATAGCATTAATGCCTAGAAATTTGAACATTTTTCCTATGCTGATATATTGCTTGCATATATATTATTAATACATAAATGTGTGCATCTTCACTTAAAGTTTGAAATCTAAAAACATAAATATTACTCCTGTCACTATAAAATGTTTCGCATACACACATGAATACACCGCATACACTCAGATTTTACACAGCTAGAATCCCATTTGTCAGTGTTTTGGGAACATTTCCCCAGGTCACTACCACGTCAGTGACTGACTTTTCATAATGGCTGAGTTCTATTCTGTCCTCATGTGAACTTTATTTAATCATTTCTTTCTATATTTTTACATTCTCAATTTTAAGGACTTGTTTCAAAAGATTTTCCTAAGTATGTATTTTTAGAATGTATTTCTTAATGCTTGAATATTTAGAATATGTGTAATAGTTAAATTGACTTTCTGGGAAAATGTTGATGTGCACAACCTTTTTATAATACAACAATACTAATGTGCTTTAGGGCAAGTACAGTCCTAAAGTTGAAGCAGCCAATGAAACACTGGATATTTGCGTTTTGTCTTCAGGAGGGAAGTGTATAGCATCCTTCAAGCTGAAGGCATCTTACTTCCTCGTTATGCGATCTTGAACCGGGACCCAAATAACCCCAAAGGTAAGGGGAAGACTTTCTGAGTAAGTTCTGAACATTTCCTTTCAATGACAAAGTGGGAAAAATTCAAAAAATTCATGCTATTCAGTATTTAAACAGTTCTTGTGTTTGATTAAAATAAGGCACTGATGAGATAAACGGCAGATAATTTCCTAAGTTTTCAATCCTACTTTTCTTTGATCTGCATTTGATGTATGTGTAAGAAATTTGCAATCATATGCTTAGTTGGGTTGTACTGGTTAGAGCTAAACAAGTGATTAATCTCACGACTGAAGTATCTACTAATAACCTCACATGACAGTACCACGTTGAGTATCTGAGAATTTTAAAATACTGCTACTTATTTATGTTTTATAACACCTTTTACTCCTTTTTTCTGTTCATATAACATACTTGATCAGCAATATATGTTACTCTGAAGCTCAAGATAAGTGCTTATCTTAAGAGTGAATATTGTGATAGTATTTAGTGTTTGGCAGAGTTCTAATGACTTACTGTACCTTAAAATTGTTTGTTTGGAAAAACTGGTTAAAGCATCATTGTCTGCAGGAAGGACCTTTCCTCATGCGTGTTGTGCACATTCATTTCCTGATGGGGATGCTTGTTGTGTACAGGCTTACTTTCAACTTACATAATTTCATGTTCTGTGACATCTGCTGTGAATCATCCCCTACTTTTCTAGAACACATTGGCATTCTGAGGTTTCCGTCTTTCCTGATGGCATCATTTCATATGCAACTTTGGATTCTGTGATGTGCTAATACGTAACTCAAGTTCTTAAAGATTTTAAAGAACAATTATAGTCCTTAATACCATGTATGTCATAAAGGTTTATATTCTCACATAAATACCTGTAATTCACATGGTATTAGTACATTATCCAAGCATGCTGTTCTTTGGTCTCAAAGTCCTCACTGATGCCCATGTGCTGGCTGGCTGATATGATGCAGCGGGTACCTGTCCATGATGTTTGATTCACAGAATGCAATCTGATTGAAGGAGAGGATCACGTGGAAGTAAACGGGGAGGTTTTCCAAAAGCCATTTGTAGAAAAACCAGTCAGTGCAGAAGACCACAATGTGTACATTTATTACCCCACATCCGCCGGGGGTGGAAGTCAAAGACTCTTCAGGAAGGTAAGCCTTCCTGTCGCTGCTGTTCTTCATACACTGTTGTATGCAGTTTATTAAAAATAATGTAAACTATTAACAGTAAGCAAAAATTAAGTCTATGGTTAAATGTAAAACTGTGACGGAATATGGAGCTCTTAATAATATAACAGGCCCAGTGCATTAGCCTAGAGGCTAAATCCTCACCTTGCATGGGCTACAATCCCATATGAGCACTGGTTTGTGTCTGGACTGCTCCCTTTCCATATAGCTCCCACCTTATGGCCTGGGAAGGCAGTGGGGGTGACCCAAAGCTTTGGGACCCTGTACCCTTGTGGAAGACCCAGAAGAAGCTCCTGCCTCCTGGCTTCAGATCAGTTCAGCTTCAGCCACTGCGGTTACTTGGAGAGTGAACTAGCAGATAAAGATCTTTTTTTTCCTGCCTCTTTCTGTAAATTTGCCTTTCTAATAAAAATAAATTTAATATATATGTATATATATACATATACATAATGTAGAAGTAAATTCATGGGATTGATAAGCACACCTTGTAAGCAAAACAGACCTTTTTCTAATTAAAAAAAAAAGATTATTTTACTTGAAAGGCAGAGACATCAAAATAGGCAGAGATCTTCCATCTGCTGGTTCCCTTCCCGAATGCCCACAATAGCCAGGGTTGCACTGGGCTGAAGCAAGGAACCCAGAACTCGGTCCCGAGTACTTGGGCCGCAGCCTGCTGTTCTCCCAGGGTGAGCATCAGAGGGAAGCTGGATCAGAAGTAGAGCAGTTCATTCCAACCAGCCGTTTGATGTAGGATGCAGGTGACCCAAGCCACAACTCCACTGCTGCGCAAACGTATATTCCGCTATAGTTAATGTTTAGCAAAATTCTCACCTCCAGGATATGAAGAGATTTTTTTTCAACTTCCCATTTGGATTCTGTCAGCCTAGAAAATTAGGTAAAGATCTAAGAGACTAATATCTCTTAAAGTGTTCCAGAAAAGAGCTCAGGGCCATTGTGGATCAGCAGGTTAAGCCTCCACTGAGGACTCTCCCAACCCAGTTGACAATGCCTGGTTCAAGTTCTGTTGCTGTGCCTCCAATCTGGTTTCCTGCCGACGGGCGTTCTGAGAGCAGCAGGTGGTGGGCCGGGCACTGGTGCCCTGGTGCAGCGGTGGAGGCTTACATGGGGCCTAGGTTTCTGGCTTCCATCTGGCACAGCTCTGATTGTTACAGGCATTTGCGGAGTAAACCAGCTGATAGAAAATACTTGTGTGTGTGTGTGTGTGTGTGTGTGTGTGTGTGTGTGTGTGTGTGTGTGTGTGTGTTGCTGTGTCATTCAAGAAAATACTAAGTATTTTTATAGAGGAAAAATGGCAGGTGTAGTAGATTAAGCTGTCACCTGCAGCACTGGCAGCTCATGTGGGTGCCTGTTCAAGTCCTGGCAGGAGAAATGTCTGAAGTGCTTGTATCCTGGTACACACATGGGAGACCCGGAAGAAGCCCCTGTATTCTGCCTGGTTCCTGGCTGTTGGCAGCCGTGTGGGAGAGTGCATCAGCAGATGGAGCATCTCAATCTTTGTCTTCCCCCTCTGACTAGATGTGCCTTTCAAACACAATAAGACTTTCAATTTTAAAATTTAGTTTGAAGGCAGAGTTAGGGAAGGAAGATGAGACAGAATGGGAAAGCTCTGCCATCTCTGGCTCACTCCCCAAATGACCAGCATGGCCAAAGCGGAGCTGATCCAAAGCCAGAGCTTCTCCAGGGCTTCCGCAGAAGCACAGCGCCCCAAGGCTTTGGACTATTCTCACTGCCCTCCTGGGCCACAAGCAGGGAGCTAGATGAGAGCTGGAGCAACTGAGACTTGAACTTGCACCCAGCTGGGATGCTGCTGACTGAAGGTGGAGGACTAGCTTGAGGAAGCTTGACACTGGCCCCTGGAGTTAAGAAAACAGTTCACAGAAAAAGTAACACTAATAACCCTTACACAACCAGAATGTGCTTTTTGTACTTGTTAAGTCTGAAATATAAGGACATTACATTACTTTTTTATCTCACAAAAAACTTGAGGGTAGTCAGGAGATAAACACAAGCCCAAACATTTCTGGCAGGAATGCAAATTGTTATAGCTTCTCTCTTAGCAGTGTCAGGTACCAGCTTATCAAAATCCTGGAGACACAAATGAAGGGCACAATGCGATATTTTAATAGCCATTAGAATGACAAATATTGAAGTATAACAGTTGCAAATATAGACAAAGGTGAACAATAGTAGTAATGTTATGTATCACCAATAAAACTAAACTGTGTAAGAAATTTTGCATTATCCATTTAAGTTGAATGTGAGCACGTTGTATCCCCTAGCAGTTCCACTGTGAGTTCATATCTTAGGAACATCTTGCACACTTTTGCCATGGTGACACTTGTGAGAAATTCACAGGGACAATATCATAATAACTGAAGGTTGACAAACAACCTAAGGTAAACATTGATGGGAGAATAGATAAATTCCGGTGTATTTGTGTAGTAAAAATTTAGTAGTACTTAAAGTGAACAAACTTGAGTTACAACAACTTGACTGAAGTTAGAAAACTGATTTTTAGTGCTCATCATATCTTTATGCTATTTTTTTTTTACATGCAAGTTACAGAAGCAGCAGAGGTAATAACAGTGCCAAGTTTGTTTGGTATTGGCAAATATTTGCAGTTTAAGAATTTTAAATTCTCCAGGTGGAAGTAGTGGAAAACAAGAATTAGTTTATAAAAGTGGTTTGGTTTTTGTTTTCAGATTGGCAGTAGAAGCAGTGTCTATTCCCCAGAAAGCAATGTACGAAAAACAGGCTCATACATCTATGAGGAGTTTATGCCCACCGATGGCACGGATGTCAAGGTAGGACCGGGTAGGCAGCGTTTCCTTCTGGCTGGTGTAGGTGGTATTGGTCTTTGGCTGGTGTTGATTAAGGTGCTGTGGGATTGGGTAGCACACCTGCCTTCTGGACATCAGAGCCTGGTGTCGGCTGTTGATCCTTGTGATCGTGGCCAGCAACTGGGACCGACACAGCCCTGGCCTGGAAGAGGTCACAATTCAAGTTCTGAGGGATAATTTCTTCTGAATGCACACTTTTTTTTTAATCAAAGTCGAACTCTCCTGAGTTGGAAGAAGGTATATTTTAACTTTCTCAGTGTCAGTGATTTCAGTGTTACGTTTCTCCTGGATCTCACTGACGTCTGTCTCTCCCACGACCACTGTGGCAGTAGAAGCTGTGACCCTCGCGGTGCATTTTAGACCTAGCCTTGATGTTCCACTCTTTACTGTCCTTGTAAAGAAACGGGGTTAGTTTACAAATGTGTCAAAGGTAAGCATCCCAGGCTGAGAAACTGAAAATCGAAATGCTATGAAGTTGGACACTACCGGAGGAGCAGGCTGGTGCTAAACAAGTTTGAGATTTTGGACAATTTTGAATGCTCAGCTTGGGAACGCTCGAGACGGAGTTGGGATGATTATCAACACAGTCCAACACAGCACGGTTTGGGAGCTGTGATTAGTGTTGATGTTTTGACATCTGTGGCGACCAGAATATGACATGAGAAATGGTTCATTGCAGTTACTCTATGATCTTAATAGCTTTACTTCAGCTAGTGTTTTGTGAGTGTCCTCTCCAAGTAGAAACGTAATGAAGGTGCCCTTGCAGGTTCTCTGCTGTGTTCTCACTGACCGCAGGGAGTTAGCCAGATCCGCTAGCCAGGCTGTGCTCGTTCCAGGCTGCGTTCTTCCCGTGCTTCTTGCAGCTCCTGGAGGTGACTTGCCCCTTCCGGACCATGCTGCCGTGCGTCAGGCCTGCACACTTTGCGTCGATTTCCTCCGTCTGCCAGGCTCTGCTCTCTTTTTGAATCTATTGTGGCAGTGTTTTCCTTCTGTAGTGTTTGCATCTCTCCTTTGTGGAAAGACAACCGTTTGAAGACAGACAGCATATGCTATTTGGTATTTATTACCTTTCTAAGTTCAGTATAATAGTTTTCTATAGACGGTAAAACTGTGCTATGTTTTTTGTTTCTCAAGACTTGGTATAGTAGTTTTCCAAAGAGATTGAAAATATTTTTTTTTTACTGGTTTTCACCTGCATTTTTTTTTTATTTTGTTTAATTTTACTGTGTAAAAAATTGAAAGATGGTGTCTCTGCTCTAGAATCTGAAGCCTTTCTGTGGTTGTTTTTGCTTTGCATTTGTTGCTGGTTATACATTGTGAAAGGTTTATACAGTGGGTCCAGATTACGCGCATGCTGAAGCTCGGAAGTCCCCGGCCCTTGACGGCAAGGTGGAGCGAGACAGTGAAGGAAAAGAAGTAAGATACCCCGTCATCCTCAATGCACGGGAGAAATTAATTGCTTGGAAAGTCTGTCTAGCTTTTAAGGTAAGTTGTTTTATGAGCACTGTGGACTCTTGTAAAGGAATTTTAATTTTCTTTTTTGAATAAAAGTCCGTAGTTTGGATTTTAACTGGAGAGGAAAGCTGAGAAAGTGTCTGGGACATTTGAACAGTTCATGTATTTTTCTTCCATTGGAGGTTTTTGTAGTGCTGTTCTATTCTTACAGTGCTAATATAGTCTTTCTGTACACATTGTATGAAAGGAAATTTTGTCAGGTAGAATTAGACAATAATTTATCTAACCAGTGTTCAGTGGTATTGTTGAACACATTAAAAACATTCAAAATGTTTCCTTTCATACACTCAATAACATTTTTCTTTTTACCATTGAATGAGAAACGTCACTGTTCTAGTTTGATATGTCATGAAATTATAAATACATTTCTTAAAACTTTTGGTTCTGAACATTTGATTAATTCAGTCAATCTTTACTATTATATTAGGTTTTTGTCCAACTACTGTTAACAAAAATTTAAATAGAGGAAATATAGTTTGCATTTAATAAAGGATGCATTTTACTTTTTTGAAATCTTGTTTGAATATAAAATTGAAAGACCAGCATATTCAAGTACTACTGTTTATAAGTAATGTTTTGTATCCTAAAAATAATTTGAAATCTCTTTCATGGAGGGAATATTAGTGTGTAGAGAAGTTTTGTAAAATTCCAGTGAACTGTGTTGCTTTGTAAGAATTCCAAAAAGAGTATCTTAAAATCACATTATCCAAATACATGAGGGCTTGAGCATAGTATAAAGGTCAGAAAGCACTTAGAACCTGAACGGCAAATTTATACTTTCTTTTAATCCATTTTATTGTTCCAAATACAATTTATTACAGGTACTTACAAATATGGTGTTGTGAGTATATAGAAGAATCACATGGAAAATTAGGCATTTCCTCTGAGATGAGTCTTTTTTTTGGTGTGGGTGATTGAAGTAGTATGATTTCTGCAAGTGTAAAATTTATGAATCAAGAGTATTGAATTGTTTTACATTAATCTTAAATTACAAATCTTAGTGATATAATTTTTTCTTTTGTCTCTTCCATGTTATTGTTTTATATCTACATCATAAGGAACTTAAATAATCATAGAATATATATCTTCAGAGTAGTCAGGTTACAAGTAAGTAATTTCTTACTTACTATGAAGTAGACCAGTGTGCAATGATGATTACACTTTTAGACATTTGTAGAATTTTATAACTTCTAATAAGACTGAAAAAGTATATTATGGTAATTGAAATGAAATTTTAAAGTTTATTGTTTATTTTAAATAGCAAACTGTTTGTGGCTTTGATTTATTACGGGCCAATGGGCAGTCCTATGTCTGTGATGTCAATGGCTTCAGTTTTGTGAAAAATTCCATGAAGTATTATGATGATTGTGCAAAAATACTTGGGTAAGGAATTTTCATATTTATCATTTTCTCTGCATTCTAGTTTTCAGAAATCATAATTTTTAATATTAAGTGACCAAGAATTCTTTAAACCTTGTAGAGTCATGAAAATGACTCTTCACAGGATGAGATCTTTGGTGGCTATGCTATATCTGAATTACTTCTTCAGTGATCAGCTTTTTGATCATAGATAATATATCTGAAGGCTTTTAGGTATTTTAACTTCATAGGTTTTAACTTCATAGATTTAGAGATACTATTCTATGGTGACTATTAACATCTCAGTATCTTGCTTTATAATTTAGTTTTTTGTTTCTTTTGTTATAATCTATAATAGAAGATTTCATTCTAGTTAATGATGGAAAATTAATGTTCATTAAGTAACAGGCAAAACAGAAACATTTGGAATTCAGGATTCTTTGCATCACATTCTTTCTGCAAGCCATGTGTTGAAGATTTTCACAGGATTGTCAAGTGAATATGAAAAAATTATATATACAAATACCACCATTTATTTTGACACATTTTATTTGAAAGGCAGAATTGGGGAGAGAAAAAGGGAGAGACAGGGAGGGAAAAATCTTCCATACACTGGCTCACTCCTCAGATGTGCACAATGATTGGAACTAGGCTAGCCTGAAAATAGGAGCCTGGAACTCTGGTCACCCATGTGGATGACAGAGACGCACATACTTAGGGTATCTTCACCTGACTTCCCAGGCATGTTAGCAAACAGGGCACTGAATTGGAAGTAGAGCAGCAGGGACTGAGCTGGCATCTCACATGGGATACCAGCATTGCAAGCATTGCAAGCAGCAGTTTAACCTTGGGTACCAACACAGCTGCCCACACAGGTCGTATTCCTTCTTTTTTTTTTTTTTTAAAGATTTATTTTTATTATTTTTTCATTGGAAAGGCGGATATACAGAGAGGAGAGACAGAGAGGAAGATCTTCCGTCCGATGATTCACTCCCCAAGTGAGCGCAACGGGCCGATACTATGCCAATCCCGAAGCCAGGAGCCTCTTCCGGGTCTCCCGTGCGGGTGCAGGTTCCCAAAGCTTTGGGCCGTCCTCGACTGCTTTCCCAGGCCACAGGCAGGGAGCTGGAAGGGAAGCGGGGCTGCCGGGATTAGAACCGGCGCCCATATGGGATCCTGGGCGTGCAAGGCGAGGACCTTTAACCACTTGCGCCACCGCGCCGAGCCAGGTCGTATTCTTAATAGCTGGATTCAGAAGACTAGCAAAAGAACAATGATGTTTAAGAGTTAGCGCAGTATATGGCACAAGGGAGATTATCCTTTAAAATCTTTAATAATATGAGTTAACATTTATAGTTAAGATTTTTGAGCTTCTTGAATACCATTAATGTATTGGAACTATTGATCTAATTTTTTCTATTCAGAATTGATTCAAAAATTACTTACATTATGATCATGAGGTAGTTTGCTATTGGTTTTGCTCTTATGCTTCATCTTGTCTTCAGATACTTAGTTTTGTCTTTAAAAATTTTTTTCGTGTTGTCTCTTAAAGAAATATTGTAATGCGAGAGCTTGCACCTCAATTTCATATTCCTTGGTCAATACCTTTAGAAGCTGAAGATATCCCAATTGTGCCAACTACATCTGGAACTATGTAAGTTTGAATTTTTATGTAGACCTGTCTTGATTTTTCCCTTTGAGTTTGTGCTATTACATTAAAAGTTCCATAATTGTTAAGTACTTTATATTTTCCCATGTGATTCAGTTTGAAAATGGATGAATAGTCCCTATGCTTTTACAAGGGCCAGTAGAATAAAAATCTTTTATGCTGTTACAAATAAAATCCTGAAATATGCTGTATTAATTAGAGATATTTAATTAAACCATAGCAAAAGTGCCAGTAAGTATATCATTTGGAGGTTCAATGTGGTCATGCAACTTTATCAGGTTGTCTCTGAGGCATATTAATTAGTACAGTATTTCTAGAATGTTTTATAATATTCTAGTGATGCAGATTATTTATGGAAGTGGAAGGTGAATTGACTGCCTGATTCACACTCAGATGTACGCTAGCTTGTTCAGTATACTGGGACATCTCAGTTTGGGGAAAAACTATTTAATCCTGTTTTTAAACTGATATTTTCTAAACTTATTTAACACAAAATTTACTCGGTTATCCATACCCTGTAGGGGTGTGTTCTGCAGTTCCTACTTTGGCAAATAGAGTCCCCATGAAGTTTGCTCCTAAAACAGTTTCTTTTCTAACATGGGCAGACTATAATAAATATGACTGCCATCTTGTAAAATTTTGTCTTAGAATATTAATATTTTAAGATTTATTTTTATTGAAACTTCATTCTATATTTATATAATACTATAGAGAATATACAAGAGTACTGGAAAGTGGAATTAACATGCTTATTCTTGTGTAATGTTTAAATTTCCTATGAAGGGTTTTCATAAAGTTCATGGAAATGTTATTAAAAGCTATGCTTTGGGCTTGCATTCTGGCACAGTGGGTTAAGCCATTGCCTGTGATGCCCGATCCTGCCCGAGTCCTGATGTGAGCCTTAGCTGCTCAGCTTCTGATCAGTTCCCTGCCACTGCACCTGAGAAAGCAGCAGATGATACTCTAAGTGCCTGGACTCCTGCCAAGCACATGGGAGACTCAGATGAAGCTCTTGACTCCTGGTCTCTGCTTGGCCCAAGCCCAGCCCTCTTCTGAGCAATGAAATGAAGACCGTTTCTCCCTTTCTCTGTTTTTGTCTTTCAACTAAATGACATAAACCTTCAAAAACTGAATGGATTTCTGAGTTTTTTTCCAGCAAAATAAATTTTCCTTTAATTCCATTTTGCATGAATTTCTTTACCCTTGTATTTTATAAATGTCAAGGATTAGAGCACATTGGCTTTCATCCGAGTTCTTGCAGACATCACTAGAGAGGTGTAATATATCTCAATATCCACTATCTCTGCCCTTCCACAGGTTTCTTTTGTTCCGTAAGGATTTAATTTAGTAAACAAAATACAGGTTGGGATGCTACAAATTCTGCTGGATGGCTCTAAATCTCTGAATGGTTTCATGTTGCATTAGTCTGTGTTATAAACTGCAAGCTGTTTGAAGAACTTGAAGAGTTTTTGTTTTTGTCTGTTTTTCCATTTTAGGATGGAACTTAGATGTGTCATAGCTGTGATACGTCATGGGGATCGAACACCAAAGCAGAAAATGAAAATGGAAGTGAGGCATCAGAAGTATGTTTTTTTTTTAGATTTATTTTTTTTTTATTATTTTTTCATTGGAAAGGCGGATATACACAGAGAAGAGACAGAGAGGAAGATCTTCCGTCCGATGATTCACTCCCCAAGTGAGCGCAACGGGTCGATACTATGCCGATCCGAAGCCAGGAGCCTCTTCCGGGTCTCCCACGCGGGTGCAGGGTCCCAAAGCTTTGGGCTGTCCTCGACTGCTTTCCCAGGCCACAGGCAGGGAGCTGGAAGGGAAGCGGGGCTGCCGGGATTAGAACCGGCGCCCATATGGGATCCCGGGCGTGCAAGGCGAGGACCTTTAACCACTTGCGCCACCGCGCCGGGCCCCAGAAGTATGTTTTAAGGAAAATAATATTGCACTTATTTTAACATTTCTGATGACGCGATTGACTATTTTGATAATATATTACATAGAAGGACTTTAACCAACCATTCTTTGGCCATTAACATTTAAACCTTACAAAAATTGCATGCCAAATTAGTTTAGAATAATGGTGTATTTTAGCATCTGCAAATTATGTGGGCAGTATTTATCAGTGCCATTGGAGTGACAGGGCTTTTATTTGTTGCCATAAAGTATTCCGTTTCATCTTGGTTATCCACATCCTTAGAGTCACTGAACTCATAACCTTTTAGAAGAAAATGAGATGAAAGTTCCAATTACTTCTATTCAGTATTTGATTTGAGGAACATATAATTTAAAAACCTGAGCTGTTAATTATATATTGAAGTAGATTTTTCTAAATGAAATATGCAGTGGCTTCAAAGGATATAATTATTGCACATTCACTTTCCATCATTAGAAATCATTTAAAAATATTAGATATTATTTACAAAAGAACTGAGTTTTATATATGTGTGCTGGAGCTATGTGGCTTGATGAATATTAACACACAGTGCTTGGAACCACAGACCTGGAAGTCAAGTCTCATATCTGTACTAATTTTGACTTACAAATTATATGGAGGAAGTCATGATGGCAAATGACTAATAATTCTCTTTTTTTCTAAGATTTTTTGACCTCTTTGAAAAATGTGATGGATATAAGTCAGGGAAATTGAAACTCAAAAAGCCAAAACAGTTACAGGTAAGTATATTCTCTTGTGAAGTTTTATGTATTTAGTAATGAAATTACGTAAGAATTTTGTTCTTTGTTGATTTATTTTCTAGGAGGTGCTAGATATTGCACGGCAACTTCTCATGGAGCTGGGCCAAAATAATGATTCCGAGATTGAAGAAAACAAGTCAAAACTTGAACAGCTGAAGACGGTACTAGAGATGTAAGTGTTTTCTTGAAGATGGTGGTTGTGATCACAGCTTGCAGTTTTCTTTATGTGTTTGACTTTCCATTTTAATTTCCTGCAAGGATCCCTTTGCTTTCTACCTCTGAAGCAAAGGGGCAATGAATGAAAAAATCTATCATCAGACATAGATTGTATTGAAAGCTGTTGTTTTAGTTTTAATTTTAATGAGAAGGTAAGAAGATACCAAATTTGGATTTCCCTGGATTTGCTGCTTCTCATTGAGGCTTCATTGCTATTTAACCAGACTCATTGCTATTTAAATAAAGTAGCTTTCAACTTTAATCTCATATTCCTATCAAAAGCATTATGTCAGGACTGGTGCCATGGCTCTGCATGCTAATCCTTCACTCGCAACCACCAGCATCTCCTGTGGTTGCCAGCTTGTGTCTCAGCTGCTCCGCTTGAATCCAGCATCCTGTTATGGCCTGGGAAAGCAGTTCAAGATGGCCAGAGGCTTTGGGAGACTGCACCTGTGGGAGAGACTTGGGGGAAGCTCCTGGCTGCTGGCTTTTATGTTTCAGCTCTGGCCATTGCAGCCATCTGGGGAGTGAGCCATTGGTTGGAAGACCTTTCTGTCGGTCTCTCTGTATATCTTCCTTTCCAATAAAAAATGATAAACGAATAACTAAATAAAAAATAAAAGCATTGTGTATGTGACTACTTATAATTTTATTTCTGGGTAAACATGCATGCATTTATATTTTCATGTATTCCTACAGTTTGTAATTTTCTAACATTATTCATTTGAGAGACAAACATGCAGAGAGAAGACAGGGGCAGACAGAGCTCCCATCCCCAGGTTTCTTGCCCAGATGCCCACGGTGACTGGGGTGGGGCCATGCTGAAGCCGGTAGGAGGCAGGTCCATCCACGTCTCCTCAGTGAGTGGCTGTCCCTAGAACCTTTGTAAATATTATCAGGCAGCTGGAATCGCAAGCAGAGCTGGGACCACTTGGGGAAATGGGCATACTCATGAGGGTTGTTCCCAGACCCCTGCACATTGTTTTTAGTGTCAATGGAATGACTATCTATACATCTTCTGCTAAGACATTGAAGAGTTCAACAAGACAGTAGACAATAGGATGAGATATTGTTGCATGAGTTTCTCTACATAGATTTTGCCTTTTCTCGTTTAGTTAATCATATCAATAGTTACTTGTCCTGTTTGCAATTTTATTTTTCAGGTATGGCCATTTTTCTGGGATAAATCGTAAGGTTCAGTTGACCTACCTCCCTCATGGTTGTCCAAAAACATCTAGTGAGGAGGAAGGTAGGTATTCCTCTGTCCTGTTGGCTTTTATGTGTGTGCAGTAGCTCATGACTCACTGTTGGCTGCCTTTGGCTTGTCTGCTGCTTAATAGTTTAGGGGTGCACATGCTGAATAATGAAAGTAGGATTTTAACTATGCCATTTAGCTTTTGTGTTCAGGAGAAATTTTGACAACATCTTGGGACTTCCCTTTTACTCGGATTGTTTCAAAAAGGTTTTGTATTAATACTCAAGTGTCTTCTAAGGGGCCTCTCTTCCTCCTTTGGAGTTGGAAAGAGTATCCAGGAAGAAAAGGTTAACAAACACCCAGGCACTATAAAAAAGTGTAAAACATGGTTCCAAAAATAACTTGATATTTTTCTGTACCCAGTAAGTCAGAAGGAGCATTTAAATTATTGGTCTCCCAAGAGCAGGAATGCAACAATGTATTTACCTTCTCAGAGAAAAGTGGACAGGAGTTAGAGAAGCCATCTCATGAGAAGAGATGCATATGACTAATAAAATCACCATGATGCAGTCATACAGGTCTAATGTCTTCATGGAAAATGCGTGGGACCAGAAGGCTTGCAAAGTTTTGTTTTTTTCACGCTTCAGAATATGCACCCCTTACCTGAGGTATCTTGTGAAGGGACCCAAGTGTAAACACAATCAATGTTTTATAGATACCTTGCACACATGATGTAAAAGTAATTTTGTGTAATACTTTTACATATCAAAAAATTTACTTAGCATATGACTTTTTGCTAGACGGGGAAGATGGATGATGGCCTTGTATTCATGAACAAGGTGAAAACAAATTGAGGTAATCTTAAATGCAAACACAAATCTGAACAAGCCAGTGGTGATTTTTACATCTAGTATGTTGCTGTCATTCCACCTTGCGATTAGCAGGAATATAATTTCCCATATCAATCTGTAGGTTCAAAATGTTTTATAGACAAAGCTTTTTAAAGATCAGTGTTTCCTAAAGTAATGCTCTTCCTGTTCCGCGTGGTGAGCCCCAAGGGAAAGGTGAGTTTCTGTCACTTTGAAGGTGGCACTGCTAATTTCCAGTAGTGCATATAATGCTCGTTTTTCAGTTCCCTCTGTTTCCAAAGATGAATCGACAGATAAAGATTCAGTATAGAAGCTCCCATCTGACAGAAGACTGTCACCTGGGCTATAACAGAGGTTCCACAATTCCAGATTTTTAAAAGCTGCGCTTGACTGCATTTTGGGTTTTTTTTGTGTGTGTGTGTGTACAATTTTAATTGGAACAAGTGTTCATCCTTTGCTCCTAAAAGTGGTACCGAGCACGATTCCCCATCGTAGCCTGTGTGTCTTCCCCTCAGCTGGCGTGAGTTGCCTTTGCTGTCACTGTACTCTGGAAGGCACCTGAGGTGAGGACAAATACAGAAGGTCTTCATCTAGCAGATATAGAGCAGTAGAACCCTGAGAACAGACCAGAGAAAATTGATCTGAGCAAATATGGAAAGAAGCAGAAATAATTGAGCTCTTCCCTGCATGCTAGACAGCCGGAGAGAAGAGCCATCCTTGCTTCTGGTCCTTAAGTGGGGAGGAGAGCTAACTCCAGCAGGTCGCGTCCAGGCTGAGGAACTCGGGAGAGCCTTCAGGTGTATGTATCCAGGAGGTCAAGGTAAACCTGGGATTTTCTTTACACTTGATTGCATTTCTATAATCTTTCAAATTCTCATTTACTCTGCTGTTATAAAATACAGAAATAACAGTGAAACAAAAATATAGCTTAAGTGATTTGAGGATTTATTTTCAGGAGATTATGCAGGGTTTCCTGGTTGTGGTTTACTTAGATTACATAGCACGTACCGACACGACCTCAAAATATACGCCTCTGACGAAGGCCGGGTGCAGATGACTGCGGCTGCTTTTGCAAAGGTATAAGTCAATAAAAGGTTTTATATTTTTTCATCTAATGTTTAATTCTGAAAGATTTTTACTAGAGCAGTATTTTAAAAATTACAAATTTGGAACTGGTAGCTAAGCTCTCAAGTAGCAGTCTTGATTATTTTACTAATAAGATCTTTGTAAGTAGTTAGCATTGCATTGTGAAATTTAGAATATAACAAACCATGATGATTTTAACATTTTGTGTACTAAGGTTTTCTTTTTCTGTTTTGTTTACATTTGCTGCATTTAGGGGCTGCTGGCTCTAGAAGGAGAGCTGACTCCCATCCTTGTTCAGATGGTGAAAAGTGCAAACATGAACGGTCTGCTGGACAGTGACAGTGACTCTCTGAGCAGCTGCCAGCAGCGTGTAAAGGCAAGGCTGCACGAGATCCTGCAGAAGGACAGAGATTTTACTGCCGAAGACTATGAAAAGGTGGGTGTGGGCAACCTTTGCCATTGCAGATGTTACTTCCACGGGGAGAAGGACATAGGACAGATCCAGAGCTTACTGTCCAGGTGGAAAGGCTGAACACTGGAACAACCCTGGCTCCTGCATGCCCTTGCCCACTTGCAGTGTGTTCCCCAGCTTCTAGAAGAGCTGCAGTTATCAAATCCAGACCCTGATTTTGGATTTGTATGCATCTCTAACATACTTGGAAACATACACTATGAAGTGACTGAAAGAAGTTATTTAGTATTTAGTATAATATACTTGCAGATTTTAAAAAATACGTTGCCACTGACTCTAGGAATCCTGTTGTACCATTGATCTCCTTAGCTCATTCCTTCTATCTAACTACACTTTGTGTCCTTTGAGCAATACACAATATCGCTAAGTACTTCTGGCCCAGACTGCAACAAGCACCGTCCTACTCTACTCTGTTGAGTTCAGCTTTTTTAGATTCCTCATTGAAGTGACACGTACTCCTCATGCGAGTGTATGTATGCCTTTGATACATTGGTTTCACCGCATTGGGATATATAGGCCCGCTACCGGGGTTGCTGGATTTTGTGAGTAGGTCCGCCTTTAGTTTTTGAACAGCTTCTATGCTGTTTTCCACAACTGTGGCACTAACTTACTATGGAAAGTTTTGAAGCATCATATAATTCGTATGTTCTGTCTACTTTGGCCTATATTATGTTTGTGAAATTTATCCATTTTGCTGTGACTATTTCCAAAGTTAGTGAATAATCGTTAGTATATAGCATTTTAAAGTTGGCAGACTTATTTTGTGAATGGCTATATGGTCTCTGTTGTAGGTTTTTAAAAACCCTCCTTAGTTCATGGGTTGTGCTGTTGGCCCAATTAGACCTGCAGAATATCATAGTTTATCGGCTCTCTGTATTTTATAAATATATTATATAATATAAATATATAACATACATAATATATACATATATATGTAAATATATAATATATATTAGCTTTGGGTTGTTACTTTTAACACTGCTATGAGCATCCTTGTATCCACATAGTGTGTAAGAACATATATGCAATTATTGCAAAGATATGAGACAAAATATTCCATAATGCTGTACTTGATTTTTGTCTTAATCATTCTCTCCATAATTAATTTTGTGAGCCCTCTCAAAGGAACATGGTTTGGGTTTTTGGTTTTCTGAATTATTTGCTTATCCTCCATTTGATATGTTCTTATTTATTACTTTGTTTATATTTGCATAGTGTTATTGCCTTTTTCTAATTGGAAACCAGTGACTGTAGGTAAAAGTAGATGTTTATTATCCTAATGTGTAGTTTTTATAAAGCAGGCACAAAGCCACAGAAACAGGCTTGAAGTCACACATGTTCTTTATCTACCCTTGATTGTGTGAATGAACTTTGAAACTAACACTGTTTGAGACAGTCTTGTACTCCCTTCGTGATTGATTGTGTAGATCTTGGGCTGCTTTAGAAGGGGTGCTTAAGCTTGCCAAACCTATGGTAGAAACTGTTTGTTTTTATTTCTAATTCTGTATCTTTTTGGAAAATTATTTGTCTATTTTTTCTTAACTGCTGTGTGCTAAAATTTCCCACAGTAATTATGGGTTTGTCTTGTCTTGGTAGTTCCCTTAGTGTGTTTTAAATGCTTTGATGCCATGCTTTGGGGGAACATAGCGTTGATATAAGTTTCTATAGTACTTTTGGTTTCAAAATTAAATGCTCCCCATATACAAGTTGAGCATCCCTAAACCAAAATCTGAAATGCTGCAAACTCAAACTTCTTGGCATTAAAATGATGACACAAGTGGAAAGTGTCATGCCTCAATCATGTGACAGGTAACAGTCAAAATCTACACACCCTCAACATATTGCAAAATTAGTCTGTGTATACTTTTTGAAACCTATGGATGTTTTCTTTGAGACTTTATTCTCAACACCCAAGTGTAACAGTTACATTGTATATAGCCAAATATTTACACAAATCAAATCACTTCTGGTCCCAAGCATTTCAGATGAGGAATATTCAGCTGTTCTGCGTGTTTTTAAATTTTTCTTCTCTGCTTTATTGGAATGGTTTTCCTTTTTTTTTTTTCCCTGCTAGTTAAAAAAACTTGTATTTGATTCTGCTGTTTGGTTAACAGGAGCCCGTGACTTGAAACTCAAATGTTTGCATTGTGCTTCCAGGCCCCTTTCCAGACAAATGCAGAGACCCTAGAAGCATACTTTTCAAACTTTGAAATTTGTAAGAATATGTTTGGGATCTTGTAAATATGAAGGTTCTAATTCACTAATCAGAGGTTGGGTTTGGGAATCTGTAGTTTTAAGACGCTTCTAGGGTATTTCAGTGCTGCTAGTACTTAACCATAGGTTAACAACAGAGCCTAAAATCATTTCATCCTGTGCACAGCTTGCAACATATATATATGATATTTTAGTTCTGTATATTTTAAATTATGCAACATTGCATTTTGATTCTTTTTATCTTGCTGTTTTATTAGAAGTTCTGTCTTTATGGTTTGTTTTTCCTTAGATTTGGAAGTGTTTTGTGTTTTGTTTGCCTATTTGTTTAAATATTGCATCTGTTACCTTCTGTGTTTCCAAGCTCATGTTATGCTTATCATTTTGTCTCTTACCCTTTCTTGGATTTTTAAAATCGTTTTATGACTTTTTTTTCTGGATATAATCTTCTAATTTATTGAAATCTGTGTATAGTTACATCTATCTAGCAAGCATTGTACCAGCCAGTCTATTTTTCAGTTCTATAATTTGTATTTTTAAAAATCAATTTTCTTAATTATTTGTAGATCTTTGGTGATTTTCATTGTTTTCTTTCACTTTATTGTCCAAAGGAATGATCTTTCCCGTAAGTTTTTGTTTGCTAATTCTAATACCTGAATCTTCATTCTGTGTCTGTGCTGTTTGGCATTCCTGATGTGTTGTACTTCAGTATCATTTATTGTGAATGGATATTTCATTTCTTTATGGAAACAATTTGAGGTCAGGCTTATTTTTGCCACATTATATTAAATATTCTCGTTTGTTCCTGTTATGCCTATAAACATAGTAGTCTGGGGTTTACTTAGCTCAGTTTCAGAAATGGATCTGTGAGGATTAACTAGTCAAGTTGAACTGGTCTTGTTAAATCAGTTGAGTTGAAAATTATGATTGGTTGGTTTGTGACTATTTTGAACCCTAAATACGAGGATGACATGAGTTCTACTTTCGATGAAACCTGAACTGTACTTTTCCCCCCCTTAGTCCAGTAAGACTATTAATTTACACTGAACTATTTAGTTTTCTTTAGAATTAACAGATGTTTCCATTGCAATTGGAATCCTGAATTTTCCTCTGTAATTCTTTGACTTATCTTTCAGATACCTTAAAGCAGAGGCATAGAAGTTCTTTACCAAATTCTTACTTAAACCCTGAATGGTTAGACTGGTTTAAACTGTCTACTTTACTATGACCAGATGTGGAATTCCACTCTATATTTTTAATTGTCAAGAAGCTATCTTGTGTACTTAAATAGCTTTCTAAGCTAAATGTCAACACTGGACTTTGAGCTTGTTAACTCATTACAAAGAAAGCAGAATAACATAATGGTTAGAAGTATTACCTGTGTTCATCACTACTCTCTTTTAGGATTTGTTGTATTTTATTTGAAAGACAGCATGAGTGAACGAGCAAGATGGAGTAAAAGATCCTCCATGTGCTGGTTCATTCCCCCAACTGACCACAATGAGCAGGGCTGGGCCAGACCAAAGCTAAGATCCCAGGGTTATGCTCTCCCACTTAGGTGGCAGGATCCCAAACAGCTATGCATCATGCGTTGCCTTGCCTTGGTATTAGCAGGGAGCTGGATTGGAAGTAGAGCTGCCATGACTCAAACTGACACTTAGATATGAAATGTTGATACCACCAACTGCTGTCCAACCCTTGTTTTACCACAACTCTAGTCCCTACTCCAGTCATTAGCTTGATTTTGAGCAAGTTGCTGAACACCATTTAGGTAGCTCTTCTGGAACATGTTGGTGAATAACAGTAGAAATATAAGGTTTTTCCCATGAACGTGTATGCAAAATGACTAAGACTATATTTGCACATTAATCCATCCAGCAAATTATCCTCACTTCTCATTGAGTACTCTGGCTAAATCTTCTCAGTGGATAATCTGATAATTGAGAGTCAAGTTTTTTTTTTTTTTAACATGGTTTTTTACTGTATTTTTTATATTTTGGAGGTAATTTTTGCACTATGGAATTCTAGCTACTGGAGAATTTTGTAAATTATTCTCTTAGCTAATAACATGTCACGTTGCTAGGTATACAAACATCCTTTGCTTATTTGCAGCTTACTCCATCTGGAAGTCTTTCTCTTACCAAATCCATGCATTTGATTAAAAATCCTGTGAAGACCTGTGACAAGGTTTATTCTTTGATTCAAAGTTTGACTTCTCAAATTAGACATCGAATGGAAGATCCCAAATCGTCAGGTAAATAATGTGTTTTTAGAACCTAAAGCAAATAAGTTACTTTCAAGTACAATAAGCATTTTGTACTTGGTTACAATGAGAGTCTCCTTCCCAACACTTTCCTGCTGCCTTCTATAATTCGTTCTCTCCCCTTTTTAAACATTTTGGAATATGACTTTAGATTTACACTGTAGAAAAGGCTTTAATAGTTCACCAGGCAAATGTACAATAAGTTATGAAGTAATCGCAGGTAATTAAAGCCATATAAATTTCATTGTTAACCATTGCTTGACAAAGTTTTACAAACTATCTGTAGTGATACGGTTACATACAGATACTACTTTTTTTTGTTTAAATTTTAGCTCCCACATATAAGAGAACACGCCATATTTGTCTCTCTGGGCCTGGTTTATGTCACATGATAGGATGTCCTCAGACTGAGTGCATTTCATTGCAAATGCTCGAATTTAATCCCTTCTTAGAGCCACAGAGTATGATTGTGTGTGTTTTCTGCATTTTCTTTACCCATTCATCTGATGGACACTTTGAATGGCTCCACAATTTGGCAGTTGTGAGTAGTGCTGCCATGAACATGAAGTGGGTGTCTTTGTGCTTTATTTTACCATATTTTAGGGGTCTATCCAGTGGTGGGTTGCTGGATGAGACTCTAAGAAGTCTCCTCACTGTTTTGCACAGTAGCTGAACCAAGTTGCATTCCCACTAGTAGTATGTGAGTATTCCACTCTGCCCACAGCAGCCTTTGGTACTCTGTGTTTGGATTTTAGCTGTATTCTCACAGGGGTGATAGTAACCTCATTGTGGTTTTGATTTCCATTTGATGGGTAGTGGTTTTCGGCATTTTTTTATATATTTTGTTGGCCATTTGTATTTCTTTTAAAAACTGTTGAAGTCCTTTGTCCATATGTCAGCTGGATTGGTTGCTATTTTTTCAGATTTATTTGTGTTATTGAAAAGGCAGATTATTGAAATAAGAAGAGACCAAGAGAAAAATCTTCCTTCCACTGGTTTACTTCCCAAAAGCCACAACAATTGGAGCTGAGCTTCTCTAAAGCGAGGAGTTTCCAGGACTCCCATTTGGGTACAGGACTTTGGGCCATCCTCTACGGTTTTCCCAGGACATCTGCAGGAAGCGCGATGGGGAGCATAGCAGCCAGGACACAAACCATCACCCACATGGAATACCGGGATGCCAGCACTTGGAAGGATTGCCTTTTGAGCCATCATGTCTGCCTCTATTTTTTTTTTTTTTTAATTATTGAGGCTTTTTTCCCTTTAAATGTCCAGGAAAGAAATAATAGCTAAGTTGTGAGTGCTTTTAACCAAAAAAGCATGAAAAGGATGCTAAAACATTTTCATTTGATCATACAATTACTTGCCTTGTACTAGATAGGCCATGTAAGGAGGTGCCACAAGGTGCCGGAGTTGTGTTCCAAGGCTGGGTTGACCATGAACCCTGCAGCTTTGGCATCTTGGGTTTCTACTGGTAATAGTCATCATTTGAACTGTTTATAATTTCTAAAATTCCTTTCTACTAAAGATGATCTTCCTATTTAATTATGACTCCAATAAAAACAAATTTTAAAATTCTTAATTAAAAATGACTTAGCTCTAAAGAATTTTAAAATAATTGCTTTTTTTTTGTTGTTATGAAAGCTGTAATATCTGGAAGAGGTCTTTTATAAACCTAGTTTCTGACCCAAGTATTTCTACTTATATCCAAGTCTCAAAAATATCAGCAATAAAGTTTCTAATTTTCAACATTTCAGCATGTACTCTTAATATGTTTAAGTTTAAAAAATGTTATGTTCTAGATATTCAGCTGTATCATAGCGAAACACTGGAGCTTATGCTGCGTAGATGGTCCAAGTTGGAGAAAGACTTTAAAACAAAGAACGGAAGATATGACATTAGTAAAATCCCTGACATATATGACTGTATAAAATATGATGTCCAGCATAATGGCTCCTTGAAGTTAGAAAATACAATGGAATTGTATCGCCTTTCCAAGGCCCTAGCAGATATTGTCATCCCTCAGGTAAGTAATTCTTGAGAATCAGTTTTCTTTTGTTTTTATTTAAATAGCTAATGTATTAATTCTGTTCTGGTAGATAAAAGCAGTTGATCTTGTCCTTAGAAGACCTATAATTGCCAAGTAAATGAGAGTTTCTGTTTGCAGCTTTTTCACAGTGAGTTGAATCTGCATACAGTTCCCCCACACAGCATAAAGCACTCAAGCACTTCCTGGGTAGCTGCTGTGTTGCTACCAGCCCTGTGCTGTGGGAATGTGCAGGGAATGGGAGAGATGCTTGTGTCTCTGCAGAAACAGTTTTACAAATTTTTAAAAACATAAAACCATTATTAATAATGCTTCAAGATGTAGCGTGGTGTTCTTTTGGAGGACATGAAAGATCTTTTCATTGTAGAAGAAAGATAGTGTTCTAACCAGAATTAAAATGAGTAAAGTCCAGTCAGGTAAAGAATTTGGCAATGGAGGAGCAAGTGAAAAGTAGCACACTGAGATGGGGGAATGCAAGGGCCCTTCAGCTGCTTCCAGAGAATACCTATTTGGAAAAGTATGATGGGTTTCCAAGTTCTTTTAATTCTGTTTTTGTACCAACTATTTTTTTCCTTTTTTTCTTTTTTTTTTTTTTTTTTTGAGATGTATTTGCCTATCTCAGTGAGAGGAATAGAGAGGTGTTTTATCCACTGGTTCATTCCCCAAATGACTGCAATTGGCTTGGTAACGCATTTCTTGTAGCAATTTGTTATCTTCATTAATTCAAAGTAATTATAGACCTCATTACATTTGATAATTTCATGGCTTTTTGGCTTACCTGTGTTTAAATTTATGAAAATACTAGCTAACGGGTTTTTTTTTTAAAAGATTTATTTTGTTGGAAAGGCAGCTATACACAGATAAGGAGATGGAGAAATATCTTCTCTCTGCTGGTTAACTCCCGAAGTGACCACAACAGCCAGAGCTGAGCTGATCCAAAGCCAGGAATTAGGAGCCTCTTCTGGTTCTCTCAAGAGGGTGCATGGTCCCAAGTCTTTAGGCCATCCTCTACTGCCTTCCCAGGCCACAAGCAGGGGGCTGGATGGGACATACAGCAGCTGGGACATGAACTGGCACCCAAATGGGATCCTGGTGGTTACAAGGCGAGGATTTAGCCACTAGGCTTTCACACCAGCCACTCCCCCACCCCCTTTTTATAAGATTTATTTACTTTTTATTGAAAAGGTAGATTTACAGAGATTTTCTATCTCCTGACTCCTCAAATCCCCAAATGGCTGCAGTGACCAAAGCTGAGCTGATCCAAAGCCAGGAGCCTCCGTAGAGTCTCCTGTGCAGGTACAGGGTCACAGAGCTTTGTGCCATCCTGTGCTGTTTTCCAGACCAGAAGCAGGGAGCTGGATAGGAAGTGGAGCAGCCAAGGATGTGAAATCATGCCCATGTGGTTGACTGGGATGCCAGTGCTTGCAAGTAGAGGATCAGCTGATTAAACCAATGTGCTGCCCCTAAATCTTTGATTAGATTGAATATGTTCATAAGTACTGCATTCATCACTAGAAATTACTTTAGTTACCCTGGAGAATCCATCCAATTGTGCTTAATAGTTTTGGAGTAGTATATTTCCAAAAAATGCAAACCACAAGTTCTCTAATGAAGTACTTTCCCCCTCGCTAGAATTCTTTACTTGAAGAGTGAATGTGCTAAAGCTCTTTGTCATTTTACCCTTTTTCTCATATTATGTATTTTCTGCTCAGGAATATGGTATAACTAAAGCTGAGAAACTGGAAATTGCCAAAGGCTACTGTACTCCTCTAGTTAGAAAAATCCGCTCAGACCTTCAGAGGACCCAAGATGACGACACTGTAAATAAACTCCATCCTGTGTAAGACACCGTACGAGTTACTTCAATCTGCAGGCATCTCTTTTTGCATACCTCAAACCCAAATTACTTTTCAGTGTGAAAGTCAGGAGTCTAACTTGGGCACAGAATTATGCAGGTAGTCTTGTCAGTTTACTTCTAACCAAGGTCCTGTTGGCTGCACGCTGGACAAAAACGAAGGTGAATGGGGATCAAGGACTGCGTGTGCTTGTTCACTCGGGATCCCAGTGTGCACTCCGGTCGGCAGCAGCTACCACGAACATCTTGGAGACAGTTGTCCTCTGTCCTTACTGTCTACAGTCCATGACTCAGTAGATCTGTTCCTCTCCTCATTACTTCCACTCAGCATGTTACCGAAGATCACTCCTCAATTCTGGTTAGAAACGTGATAGGTTTGATTTAATCACTGTGCTCTTTACTGTTAGATTAAATTCCATTTGATATTCCCAATATTTAGTAATTCTTTAACTATATGGTTCTGCTTAGTAATTCTTGCTTCTAACTTTAGGTATTCCAGGGGTGTTCTGTCTCCTGAACGTCATGTTCGTACCAGATTGTATTTTACCAGTGAAAGTCACGTACATTCTTTATTGTCTATTCTTCGCTATGGTGCCTTGTGCAATGTAAGTGGGATAAGTTACTTATACTTCTCTAATCAAATGACAGCAGCTATTTTTTATTTTACTGGTGATGTTTACACAGTTAATGAGGGGGGGGGGAGGTCGAATCAAGGGGTAGTGGGTAAGACCCTTGTTTACATATTTTTTTCTTCCTGTGTGTGGGTGGGGAGGAGACTGGAAGAGAAACCATGCCCATCTTCCCAACCACCACATTACCTTAGCCTTAGAATTCAGTAATGAGTATCATATTTCAAGAGATATGTTTACTTTGTATAAGCTATTTTTCTTTTAGGATATCATTACAGTTTCTAATACTGCTAAGGGATTTATAAGAATAGTTTGCGTAAACAAGCTTGAGAAACTTATTGGAACTTTCAAATGCAATGAATGCAGTTAATTTCAAGGATTATGCACACAGTAGTCGTTCACTTTGTGTTGTCAACTCAGGATTAAACAGTTGACATTGACCATAAAGTGACATTCAAGGAATACAGTATGAGAAAATGCTTACCATGTACCTTTTGTTCAGGAATCAGATGAACAGTGGAAACGAGCTATGGATTATTTAAACGTTGTCAATGAGCTCAACTACATGACACAGATTGTTATCATGCTTTATGAGGATCCTAACAAGGTAACAGAGCTCTTGATTGCTTTGCATTATAAGAGCTAACTAGGCAACGTGAACTGCCTCATTTTAAAAATATTCTGTCATGTTTTAGGACCTCTCCTCAGAGGAACGCTTTCATGTTGAATTACACTTTAGTCCAGGAGCCAAAGGCTGTGAAGAAGACAAAAATTTACCATCTGGTTACGGATATAGACCAGCTTCCAGAGAGGTAATTATGCAAGAGAGATCTTCCATCTGCTGGTTCACTCCTTGATGGCCCAAGAAGTTGTGGCTGGGCATCATTAACTGCAGATCAAATTTGTGAAAAATGACAGCTCTGTGCTATAAGTTCTAACAAGGATCCTGTGTATTTCTGAATCTATTTAGCTATACTTTGTATCTTTTGACAAAATTAGATGTTCAATAAGTCTTATTCCTTTATCTGAGTCCTATGTCTCATATTTTTTGGTGTCTATAACTATTTAAATTTTTCTGTTTATTGTCATTATGTTGAATTGAACTCATTTTTGTGTGACAATTTTATAGCTAGCATATTTGCCATATGCTGTTCTGTCATTCTGTTGATGTTCCTGTCAAATCATTTAGATTTGTAGTGTGAGTAGTGATGGCATTTGACCAAACAACAAATGCAGTTTGTGATGGACACTTTCGTCATTCATGTCCTGTTCAGTGCAATTGTTACTACCAGTTTGAATATATTCTCTATCTGGTTAAAGATGTTCTCTTTATGTTCAACACTTGGCTTCTGTGGTATGGTAGTCCAGTTTGTTCTATCGTCAATGGATATTTGTATATAAAATTCCTTAGCCTATCTCTCCCCTATGATGTAGGATTATGGCTTTGAAGGGTTATAGCTTGCACATTCCTGTCGCAGAATCAATCCTGGCACAAGGCACACACTGAGAGTGTATTTAGTGAGATTCATAAGGAGTTTTTCCTTTTTGTGCAACCAGTTTTATCGGAAGTATTTGTAGTAGAACTTCAGGATTCTAAAGTTCATAAATTCAATTTGCTGTTTTAGTTTATATTGATATCAATGATATTTCTATGTAACAAAACTAATCTCTTGCTTACAGTCGTTGTTTATACATTTGATGAAATTTAGGCATTTGTGGTTCTTTATCATTTTATTTAATTTCTGCATAGTGTAATATCTTTCTTGAAGACAGGGACTAATGTTTTGTGTCATAACCTGCATAATTCTAGACTGTTTGAAGAGGTTGGTGAATATGCATCATTTGTACAAGCAAACTGTTACACATATTTTAAGTGATTGAATCAGTTAATGGCTGAATTTGTTTATCAGAAGAGATTTTTTTTCATTGGAGTTTTGAGTCTATTGTGTTCTTTATCCACAGAGTGAAGGCAGGAGATCTTTTAAAACCGATAGTGATGATGAACCACACTCTTCTAAAAAAGATGAGGTTGATCGAGCTGTTCTAATGTTTAAGCCAATGGTATCAGAGCCGATTCATATACACAGGAAATCTCCGCTTCCAAGATCTAGGAAGATGGTTACAAACGAAGTAAGTGTATGTATCAGAGCATGTCTCATGCAGTCAACTATGTTCTAATAAAATTGAAAAGAAAATACAGCTTTAATGGTAGAGCTTGGGAACCTGATTATTTGTCAACTGTATTTATTTCTTTACTCAGTATTTAAACATACTGTTGTAAATGACAGAAATTAGTTTAGGGATAAATTCTAACTTTGTATGTAGCTTCCCTAACAAATGGAGTGTAGATATGAAAATAAGCTTTTCCTAGGAGTTTCACAAATTGATTTCCCCTCCTCCCTCTTTTTGCTGGGTTACATGTTTTCAATAATTTTTAAAATTCTCAATGTGTCAAAAATAATTGTTGGTTTAAAATGAACAATAGATGACAGAAAAGGTTCAGCAATAACTAATTACATTGACAGTGTAGGTTGATTAGTCTATTGCTAAGACCTATATAAGTTAGACTAACTCTTATGCTATTGATGGAATAGTGTTTAACTACTAAAATAATACATAAAGGGCAAGTTGAGTGCTCAAATGAAATTTGCTGAGTATGTTTAATAGCTACATTATATACCTTCAGTAATTCTTGAGTTATCTGCTCTCTGTAGGATGATGCTCGCAGCACTGAGATCGAATGCCTATATATATTTTCTGAATGCCCTAGTAAAAACACACAGCAAGAAATTGACTTTATAATAATACAGAAAAAGAACCATCAACTTTAAATTGGAATTATTTTTGATTAATACTTAACTGTACCAGCTCTGAAGAATTAGGTATAATGCTATTTAGCAATTATTGGGTAACAGTATAAACAACAAAAACAAACTCATTCCTACAGTCCTAAATTATACAGACACAAGTGTTCTATGGTTCTTAAATTTCAAATATATATTCTCCAGTTTGCATGTATGGCAAAATATGTGTAGAGAAAAAATTTTTTCACATGTAGTAGATTGTTGCCATTTTATAGTGGAAACCATGTAGTAGTCGAAGTTCCATTGAATATGATATATTAGATTGTAAGACGATGACTAACATTAATTACAGAATTGGAATATTTGTTTTATTGCAGCTAAATTGAAAAATAAAAGGTTGGGCTAGGCTTGTGTATCCTTAATTTCAGAATATAGGAAAATCATTTGTATTCACATAACCTAAAATACCACTTGCATGAGGGCAGTTATTTTGATGTTTGTTAAATATCCAATCTGTAGTTCATCAGATTTCTCTTCAGAAAGTCCCCACCTTCTCTGCCCTCCAGAAAGCCCACGTAACAGATACAGCACAATCGTGCACTTTCACTATGCAGCAAAATCACTGCCTTTCTTAACTTTTAAAACACAAAATACATTTGTAAATCTTTTTCTCATGAATAAGTAGTTGTTTTCAAGAAGTTATTTCTATGCCATGCTAAACTTTTACTTCCATAAGGTAAATTATTCAAGTAAATCCCTGAAGACTTTTTCCAGCGTCCGTCAACTCCATGGATATCAGAAGTTTGCACTTCCAAAAGTCACACAGAGAAAAAGACAATTCTCTTCATTTTGTGCAAGTAGATCTTACTGTGTCCTCACTGTCTGCAGCCTGAACATGCAAACATGGAACATGAGGATGTTTGTTGCATGTTTTGCCTATTTAACTCTCTACATAATAATCTTTGAATGGGATAAACAAATAGTGGAAGAATAAGCAAGGAAGATTTGAATACATTTTATGATGTCTGTATTTTTTTAATGTTTGGTAAGCAGATTTTCATAAAATTGGATACATTAAAATCTTTGCTCCATGCACAATTCTTTGGTGCATTGGGTTAAAACGTGTGCCACAAAAACTAGAAAGTTTTTTGAGTATCTAAAATTAAAGACAGTATAAAGTTACTAGAAAGAAAAAAATTAATCTTTCAAGTTCTGAGAGGAAGGGAACAACCGTTAAGCAGTATAAGTGTGTCATGTGTTTTAAGGTAATATTTCTGCAACTATTAAATAAGCACATACAATTAAATTAATAAGTAATCTCTATCAAGTCTCGAATAGTGAAATATTTGGCTCCCAAATTGCTGTTTAGTAGTCTTTAAAGTAATTAATGATGCAAACAAACTGTATTTTTTTTTCTTTCATTGGCTCTGTTGTATCTAACTCTGCATGCTCTGCTTTTGTTTTTGTTTTTGTTCTTGTTTTTGCCCCCCCTTCTCACTTCCAGGAAGAGAGCCCCCTGAGTGTGTCTAGCCCAGAGGGTACTGGTTCCTGGCTGCATTATACCAGTGGTGTGGGTACTGGGCGTCGAAGACGCAGATCAGGGGAACAAATCACTTCTTCCCCTGTGTCCCCCAAATCATTGGCTTTCACATCCAGTATTTTTGGCTCATGGCAACAGGTTTTTAAACTTTACTTCATTAAACATTTTTCCTCCCCATATTCAGAGCAACAAACAACTGTCTTTGAGGACATCTAATCCCTTGTATATAGCATCAGAGTAAATCCTTCTGTTACTTGGAATCCAATTTAAACGACTTATGATGTCGGGCAATATTTGAAGGAAAGATTACGTTGCGTGTGTGGTATTTTTATTGGCAAGGGTTTTAAAGATTAAGGATCAACAAATTTTATTCTCCTGGAACTTTAGCTTGCTAGTAAAATTACTTAATCTTTTTGGGGCTTCGTTGTCCTTTAAAAGTTTCAGAAAAAATTATGTAATTTAATGATAACAAAATTAATAACTTCCCCCAGTAATTGAAAAATTGCATTTTAGCTGGAATTTGAGAATGTAAACATTTTTTTAAAATATCAAAATTTGTATGGCCCAGTGTTAATTAGAATGTATCAAATACTGACCATTCTCTCCATCACTATTCCATTATCTGGAAGTGTGCTGTAACTGAAGTGTTATTTATCCAGTGTGTTTCCTCTGAGCTATGTAATACTTGAAGACAAATGGGGGCAAGTGTGTGTGTGCCCATCAGTAGTGAGTCTGCTAAAATTATCAAAGTCGGAAGGACTTTCTGTCATGATGTTTGGATATTAAAAATACTAAGGTTTCTGTTACAATGGAAGGTCAGCTGTGACTTTTCTGATAATTTTCAGCAATTTCCTTTTGAAAATACAATGCATTTGATTATAGGAAAAGGGATTATGGTATCCATTAAGGCTGTGACTATTGAAAGGTTACTCTGATAAACCCCATGCATGGATCAGTAACTGTACGGTGACCTCAACACTCTGTCTGTTCTTGTGTTTGTGGTTGTTTTCCCCCTTGAAATACAGGAGCTGTTTGAGAGTGGGCATTTGGCTTCCTTTGAGAGAGAGTGAAATTATATCTCTTGTTTCTTTTCATCTGTCTTGTTTCATACATACGTGTTTGATTCTGAATGCCTGCTTCCTACCACTTCATTGCAAGGATCTCATGTGAAATGAACTCCCTTCAGAAAGGGATCTTGCATGATCTTTCATGTTCTGTATATTTCTACTAATATTTAGTATACAGCTTATTAACCTCTGTCTGTCTGAAACAGGCTGCATATGAAGTGTGGGTTTTAAAATTTACTTTACTTTTTGTTTCACTTACTTTGCTTTCCTTACACAGGTTGTATCTGAAAATGCCAACTACCTTCGAACACCAAGAACTCTTGTGGAACAGAAGCCGAATCCTACTGTAGGTATGTGATAGAAAGGAAGTTGGACTCCTCAGCCTTCTTTAACTCCCTGTCTTGCACACAAGTAAAGCTCTTGTGTGGGAAAAGCATGTCCAGATGCTATGCTTTCGTTTTTATTTAACGTATACTTTCAGAGCTGTTGAGTTGTACAGTTCCAAATAGGCAATAAAGTTTCAGTAAGATAAGAAGTAGCATTTACTGTTTTTGTTTAACCTTTTTGGAATGCCCGGTGAAGTCACCATTCAGTTTATTTGGCAATGCTACTTTTTGATCTTATATTCTGTGACTTAATTAAACATACTATCACTTGCCAAAAAAAAAAAAAAAAAAAAAAGCCAACTTCTGAGCCTTTTTCCTATTAGCTTTTTTAAGGGTGGAGTATTTCAGACCTTATCTGGGTGTATTGATTTGCCTTTTGTGCAACTTCTAAAATTTAAGGATGAAGATTGTAGCGTCACTCATAGGCCACAGACAATTTCCAAGTTAAAAATGAGCTTGCGATAGATGTATTGACTTTTAGGTTCCCCCTGTGGTTGCTTTGGCAGGGCTGGACCTGCAGCACACCAGTGACGAGGAAAAGCACTGCGCAGTGGCAGTCCTGCTCTTCACTGCAGGACGCTAACAGCAACCCTGGGAAAGGCCTTTTCACAGCTTGATGGTTTTAAGCTTATGGTTGATGGGCTGTGAGCTAATGTCATATTAAATAATTGTAAAGATGTTCACGTAGCTTTAATACAAACATGAAGACATTTCATTACTACCCATGCACTGTTGGGACGTCATACCTAAGCATACAGACGGTATTGATGTCCACATCCTTGGTGATCTGGCCTCAGTCACGTATTGCTTATATTTATATATGGCTTTTAATATTTCCACAGGAGCTTTTTAGAAATTTATGTATTACCCCTTTTTACTGATAATTCATAGTATATTTGATAGAAATTGGTGAAAGCTTTTTTTTCTTACAAGAACTATTTCCACAGTTGAACATCAGTTTATACTGACTGGGTTTAATTTGCTAAAATGTTTCCTAGGATTAGGCTGGCGAGTAAGGGTCTTATCAATCTTTTAAATCATTTCCTAAAGTATAAGAAATCTAAAGTGACTTAAGCCTGAGTGACCAAAAAAAGTTATCTTCCTGGTCTTTTTACCAGTTAGCAACTTTGTTATTTCAGAGGAAAAAAAACAAGGCCTGACTTGGTTTGCATCAGAGAGAATTCTTCACTTACAAGCATACATTGAAAAATCTTTGTTACACAACCTAATTTATGCAAAATGATTAGCACAATCTCTCCTGTCCTGAATTAGTTTTTGTGATAGTGTTTTTTAACGCTTTTAGGTTGTATATACATCTGGTTATTATGTGGGCCTATTTTTTTCTTAAGGATACCATTGTACTCAGTGTTAAATGACCAGGTTTGTTCATATCATGAATGGTGGTGCTGATTAGAAGCATTATATTGACAATAATATCACTAGGACATTGCAAGCACATTGTGAGCCTGGTGTGAGGGCACTGCCAAAGGCTGCCTTGTGTGTGGTAAGAGCCGTGTTAATTGCATGCTGCATGAATTCTCCATGTGAATGGAAGAACACCCGTTGTTGTATGTATTTTCTCTAACTCCCATCAGGGTCTCACTGTGCGGGCCTGTTTAGCACCACGGTGCTCGGGGGTTCTTCAAGCGCACCTAACCTACAGGATTATGCTCGTACTCATCGTAAAAAGCTGACCTCTTCTGGCTGCATAGATGGTATGTGCACGCATGCACACACAGATGCGTACTTCGACCCATGCAAACACCCATGAGCAGTAGTTTTCAAAGGCAAGTCTAAGGACAGTGAATCAAATGGAATGCTAGCTCCCTTTGCGTAGATAACTGTCAGTGCTTTTTGTTATCCACGCAGTGGATTCATGTTTCATCACACGTTAGTTAGATTTTAAAACTGCCCGGTCAGCAGTTTGTCAAATGGAAAATTTAGAATTGAATCATGTGTGTTCCTTTAGTTAATTGATGTTTACTCTAAAGAATACATTTTACCTGATCCTTTCTCTTCATTGTTAACCTTTATTTTACTTCCTGATGTTGAGCTTATCAAAGTGAATAGAATATATGACACTAACAATAGTTTTATAAAAATCAACATGGGATTAGTGTTTTAGGATACCTTGCTGAAAGAGCATCTCTTTTGTCAACATGCCAACTTTTGATATTCCAAGTGTTTTTAGAGTGGAGGTTGTGGAAGCTTGTCCTTTTGTCGAAAGGAGTGTTTTTAATTCTTTTGGGGTCATCATTATTTAAGGTTTTAGCTCATATTCACGAATTTGCCATAGTGGTTAACACGTGGATTTACCAGAATTGCCAGTTCATCCTGCTTTTCCTTCTCTCATGGACCATGTGGCCTCTTTCTCAAGCTGGGTTGCCTCATTTAACCAGGATTTGGCTTATTCCCTTCTCTCCTTGTTCCTTCTGCATGTCACCTAATTCTAACCTCCTCATATATTTGTTTTTCCCCTCTTTTTTAAGTGTTCTTTTGTTGCTGTTACGAATTTCAGGTACGTGTTTTTCTCTTTCTCAGACGCCACACGCGGTTCTGCTGTTAAAAGGTTTTCTATCTCATTTGCTCGACACCCAACCAATGGTATGTTTTGCTTTTATTTTAAAAGATACTCCCCTGCTTCATCCCTTTTTTTATTTTTCTTTTATTTCAAAATGTGGGGTATTCAGTATCATTCATTTCTCTGCCCTTAACTTCAGTCAGCATCTAATTACACTTTATTGTTCACCCAAATTATTAATACTATCAAGCTTCTTTTTTCATCTGTAGTTTACACAGCATTTTAACATAACTGTCAAATGGTAAATGACCACAACATTGGTGAATTTGTAATACTTTACAAATTTACTTTGTAAATTCTGATTGCTCCAGTGATCAGACATTCATATTTTAAATGCAATAATGAATATTTCATTTGTCCTTAATTCTTAATAATTTTGATATTTTTCTCCCAAATTCCTCTTCTGATCACAAGACTGTTTCATTCATCTTGACCAGAAATAGAGAATAACTGCTGTGCAACAGCCAAAGGTGACATGTCTTTGGAGCAGTCTTGGGAACCTGGTCATGGAGACTTGACTTTGTGATGTCATTTATCCATGCTGTTGTCTAAAGCAAAACCTAACTTGGACCAGAGCCCTCTGAACACTTTGAGTATGGCAGTGTCATTTGCTGTTACCAAGCGGCGAGTTCCTTTTGGTACCACTGCTTTTTCTTAAAGTTTGGAGAACTGGCAAGGAAGAATAAGTTAAAATCCAGAAACTCACTTCAGTTGAATTCAGATTTTGAGGATGGATAGGAAAGTGTGTTCTCTTTTCTAGAAGTTGCATTATCACACAGCTTCTTATTAATAAAGCTTGATTTTATGAGGCTAGGAGGACTTTTTGCCTACCTTTCTAAATATCATAGAATCAAATAATTCCAAAGAAAACTTCCAGGTTTTTACTTTATTTAACTTGAGGGTGCTCTAATTCCTGAAACTTCATTTTCTCTTTAACTGCAAAAAAACCTGTCACAAATCCAAACTTCTATGAAGCTGAAGGAATTATCACAAGTTTGTGATCCTTCCTGCCTTTGTGGAGCCTTTCACAACCCCTCTAAGGTAACAGTGCATTCCTAATGCTGAGTCCGTTCTCATCCTCAACAAGTGAGAATTTAGTCTTAAAGCTCAACCTTCTTTGCCTCCGTTGTAGCTGTTTGAATGCTACAGCTTGAAGACACAGATCTTTATTTAATACAGTTGCAGCTCCTAAAGAAACAGCTTGCCCAGGAACATCTTAGAAGAGAAACAGAAGTCACCAGAAACACAGAAGTGACAATATTCTAAGAAGAGACACTGCAGGTTTAAAATTATAGTTTTTACCAATTGCTTGTGTGTTTATAGCCATTACTCAAGGTTTTTATGTAAGGGAATTCTGTTTGAGGTTAATATTTTTTAAAAAAAAGAAAAAGTACTTTTGTTAGATTTAATACATATTCTGTGTTCCTTTGGTTTAGGACTTTTTATGTAGATTTCCCACACATTATTCAACTTAATGCATTTGAAATGCATTTCTTTCAATTCTATAAGTATTTCTTTTGGGTTCTCAAGATTTCTTCCTTTTTCTTTAATGCTGTGTTGTCTTATCTGTCCTATGAATTGTCATTTGACTCTTCTTTTATTTTCCCTAACTTTCATGTGATTTCCATCTTTAACCCACATCCCGGACTGACCCCACCCTTCATCTTTAGTTCAAGGAACATGGTGAGACGAGTACCTTCTGACAGTGCTTTGCCTTGTTTTCTGGGCCTCTGTGCAGAACACCTCCACCTCTATAGGTGCTGGTCCGTTTCCTCTGTGGGATTGCTAGGCCCCAGTGGTATGTTTTTCTAGCTTCTAAACCCGTCAGCAGGGTGGCTTTTTAAGTTGCTGCGCTAACCCTTTCATTGTGCATTAAAGGGGAAAGTTTATTAAAGATGAGTGGAGAACGTGAGGGTTTGGCAAACTTGAATGTGCTATTTGCCTGTTTTAGGGTCTAACAGGCAAATGAAAGAAAAATAATTGCTAAAACGTATAGACTTGCTAAGGAAAGAAGACGTTTAGTGTGATGCAAAGAAAGGGTTTGCGCTCATTTGCATGAATCTTGTACTTTTTTAAAAACCGCAACAGTCGGCCAAGCCTAGTTTCCTTAGCGCTTAATTGAGGTGCTTTAGCTGCTGTCATGGTACTACAGAAATTGTTTTGTTTTCTAAAGTGTGTGTAACGTTCTGTCATGCTTTAGTTTGTAGTTGAAGATCAAAAATGTGTGAGTTTTGTAAATCTTAGCCATTTTCATAGACAGACTTGATTCCCTTTAAACTGGGCATTTCCCCCTTCCAGCTAAGAATTCCAGAGGTTCTTGGATTAATATTTATTCTTCAAAGTTAAATATCACTTAATTTTTAAATGAACATATGCCTATTAAAACAAAAAGGTATAAAGTTAAAATTTACTTTCTAATTAATGATATGGGACTTTTTAAAAAGCCAAATTTAAGTATTCAAAATACTTCTTTGGGAAGAGAAGTAACTTGAATTTTTAGGAAGCAAAGATAGAGGAAGACAGATTATATTTAGCGACCTATGAAAGCCCTTTCAAAAGCCACTTTAATAGAAGTTGAGGCAACTTTGTCATTAAAAGGTAAATAGTTGGTACCCTACGTGTTTGTTATAGCGTAGACTGTGTTGTAGAGCTTTTGTTTCACTGGTGATATTAACACGTGCCTGCACAATTGTTGCTTGGGATTCTTATCTTTCTGTGCCTTTGTTAAATAGGAATGTATTTGTATTTTGTATTACCTTTTCTTTGGCCAAACTTTATGCATCAGTGATTTCTAATAATAGAAATAGTATTGTAATCCCATCAAGGTAGGTGAAATACGCTTTAGAATCTTAATGCCAGCATAAGCAAATATTCAGGGAATGCTATAAAATTTTGTTTCCTTGGCATATCTAGAAAAAACATTTAAAATTGCTCTTCACGGTAACTGTATAATCGTTTCTTTGACACGAAGTTGGTTTTAGCATCCTAGCATCAAGATCAAATGAGGGAGTCTGCTCACTGACTTGTTGGATGCACCTGATTTGTAGAAACCCAAATTGAAACATTGCAAATTTTTTGATTGTGCGCTATAGGTTTTCTTGTTTCAATGTTATTTTTTATTTTTTCTGCTATGAAATAAAACTGGTGCATGCTGTACTGTATGGGGATGCTGAGGTGAAACTTTGTTCCATCTTGTCTCCCCTCCATGTCGCATAACATCTGGTGTCAGGACTTCAGAGGTCTTGTGTGTTTGCATGTGAAAGAGTAGAAAGACCTAAAGTTTTCAGGTCTGAGCAGTGGTCGTCTTCCTTTTTAACTGTTCCTCTTTTAAATAGCCAACGTGTCTTTTTCATTTTTATTTTCTTTTCCAGGCTTTGAATTGTACTCCATGGTCCCGTCTATTTGTCCTCTAGAGACTCTTCACAATGCCCTGTCTCTAAAGCAGGTGGATGAATTTCTTGCTTCCATCGCTTCTCCATCGAGTGATGTGCCACGGAAGATACCTGAAATGTGTAGGAAAATTTATCTTGATTATTATTTAATGAATCCACAATAGGTATTTTCTGAACATAACAGGAATCGTAAATGCATATACTCAAAGGTGGGAAATACAATGGGCAACTTTAAAAAAAGGTTATTGGATGAGTAGAGTGAGAGAGGGAGCTGTCTTTATGTGCCAACAGCCCGATGGAAGCCAAGAGCTTGAAACTCTGTCCAGGTCTCCCAGCTGGGTAACGGGCCCAGGCAGGGGCCATCCTACACTGCTTTCCTGGGTGCAGCAGCTGGGACTCAAACTGGTCTTCCTGTGGGATGCTGCCATTGTAGGTGACAGCTTAACGCCCTTAATGGCGTTTTTTTTTTTTTTTTAAAGATTCATTTATTTGAAAGTCCAGGTAGAAGAATGACAGCATAAGTGAATAAATATTTCACCTGCTAGTTCACTCCTCAGATGGCTGCAATGGCCAGGAGTGGGCCAAACCAATGCCAGGAGTGGATGCCCTTCCACATCCACCATGTGGAGGGCAGCTGGGACATGAACTGGTATCCATAATGGGATGCCTGTGTGACAGGCAATGGCATTACTGGTTGCACCATGATACCAGAAAATATAACATTTTAAAAAATTATTAAATATCTGTACATATTGTTCCACACATGCGCCCATTAGGCATTAGAAAGATCCATGGGGACAGCGCACAGGCACCAGTGTCCCATATGGGAACCAGCTGGACTCTGGGCTGCTCTACTTCTGATCTAGAGCCTTGCTGATATGCCTGGGTCCCTGCACCAACATGGGAGTCATGGAGCAGGCTCCGGGCTCCTGATTTCAGACCAGCCTGAGTGAGTGTTTTGGTTGAATTCTTATCCAGCTGAAAATCCATAAATTGTCTTTGCTTACCTTTCCCCCCTTTTTTGAGGTGCTAATACATATATTTCATCAAGAATTGGAAGTGACAAGCAGGTGTTTCATGTAACAGGGATGTCTGTAAACCCGTGTGAGAGCCTCTGGAGTTTCCCTTTAATATCAAGTCTGGGACGCACAGGTGATTGCTCTGCTGGCTTTGAGGTCTCGGCCACCCCGTGGGAGACCGGATTGAGTCTTCAGCTCCAGGCCTTGACCTTGCCCAGCCCAAGCTGCTGTGGGCATTTGAGGGACCCAGCAAATGGGAAACCTCTCACTGTGGCTGTCTATTTCTGTGTGTTTCAAATAAATAAATACATTTGTTAAAATGATAAGATACTGTGGCTTCAGCAAGGAGTGCCCCTCTCACATCATGCTGTTACTGTTTCCTTTCTTAGCTCATTACCTTGTGTAACATTATTTAAGGTTTATTTATTGAAGATTTATTTATTTGAAAAAGGGAGAAAGATCTACCAGCCACTGGTTCACTCCCCTAGGGCCGTAATGGCCAGAGCTAGGCCAGGATGGCTAGAAACTGGTAGCTTCTTCCCATTCTCCAGTATAGGTAGAGGGGCCCAAGGGCCTTCTCTCTCTATTAGCAGGGAGCTGGATCGGAAGTGAAGCAGATAGGCCTTGAGCCAGCATCCATATGAGATGGCTAGTGTAATAGGCGGTAGCTTACCTCACTCTGCCACGATGCTGGACCTACCTTGTATAATTATATATGCACTTACATGTGAATGTTTTATATATATAGATATATATAATACACACACACACACATATATTTATTTGAAAGGAGAGTTAGAGAAGGAGAAACAGATGGAAGGGTAAGAGGGAAGACAAGTGAGACAGAATGGGAATCTTTCATCTTCTAGTTCTCTTGCACAAGTGGCCACAACAGCCAGATCTAAGCTGATCTGAAGCCAGAAGCCAGGAGTTCATTCCGGCTCATCCACATGGGTTCTGGGTCCCAAGGACTTGAGCCATCTTCTGCTGCCTCCCCAGGACACAAACCTATGCCCATATGGAATGAAGGCGCCACAGACAGGGCATGGCTCTGCACTACAGTGCCAGCCCCTACTTGGTATCATTCTAAAGGGCCCTATTCACATTGTCCACCTGGTGCCAACTGCATCTGTGCTTTCTAGAGTTCTTGCCACTTTAATAGAAGTTGGCCTTCAAGTCATTAATGATGGAAAGTATTGTCTTAATGTGAATATTGTGAAATATTTCACTTTAGGAATGGCTTTGTGGAGTAGGTTTTATTTGAATGTGTCTGATTCTGAAAATTGGTAATTTTGCAAATGAAATACCTTTTCCAAGCTCCTTTTTCAACATCAAGGAAATGAAGGAGGTTCATATCTTTTTGTATCTTTTTCTTGAGATTTTTTTTTTTTAATTGCAAAGGCAGAGTGATGTGGGAACAGATTTTGCATCTGCTGATTCTGTACGGCTGCAGTGACCTGAGTTAGGCTGGCACCAAACCAGGAGCCAGGGACTTATGTATCTGTCACACAAGTTCAGGGCTCCCAGCACTTGGGCCGTCCTCTACTGCTTTTCCAGGCACAGTCTCAGGGAAAGAAGGGTCAGTGAAGATGCAGCCTGGACTCGAGCCAATGTACTTTGGGATGTTGTATGGCAGGCAGCAGCTTTACCCGCTACATCACAGCACTGGTCCCCTCCTTCTATAACAGTGCTGTGGCCTCAGTGTGCAATACAGAGTCTGAGAAACACTGACTGCTCCCTTTTCTTACTCATTATGCTGCCTTGCTTTCCCGAGGTCGGATTTGAATACTAAAAGACCAAATATTCTAATTAGTAAGAATTTAGGGTAAATATCAGTATTGCTTAGAAAGATTTATAGCAAGACTTGAAAGCAATAGGAGCAGTAAAGGCATGTATCTGTTTGACAAGAGTGTTTGAGAGGGAGATTTGAAAGATACTCAGTTCAGGCTTATGCTGTGGCACTGTCGCCTTATGACAGCTTCGTGCTGGTGAATCATGAATTCCGTCTCCCAGAGGGCATTTTTGAAGTTTGTGAATGTCTCAAGCTAACAATGTGTTGGATATCTTTACCCGGGGTTTTAATGAGCTCTTTCCTGTGCCATGGATACAAAGAGGACTCCAGTCCTTGTTCGGTTCAAATGTCATATCATTAGTTGTTAAGGGAACTACCTGGTAAAGTAATGTACTTAATGTTCATTGTTCATGGAAATCGACAGGGCTTCAATATAGTCTTCCAACTCATTTCCAAGAACCTTGGAAAATTTCATGAGGATTACAAGGATTCTGAGTGTTTGGGGCTTGTGTCCTGTGACTGGCTCACTGAGTGACTGTTGGATCTGTTTTATTTAAAGCTTTGTTTCAGAAAAGTTTGCCACTTAAAAAAAAAAAAGCTTAGATCCCATTGAAGAAATTGGCTAGTCAGTGGTGAAGCAAGATAAAAGCTTGAGTCTTAAAAAGCCTTTCTTCCTGCTTTTCAAGTATTAAGATGAAGTACCAGTTATGAAAGAATCTGGATTATGTAGTTGATAGATTGGGTGTAGAATTTATACTTATTAATTACAGTACATTTATGTGATACATAGGCCCTGACTAATCAGAAGTAGCAACGTACGTGTTGATTCTGTGTTCTCCTAATATGTGAGAAGGCATTGTTAATCTTTGTCTTTCAAAAGTGTTTCTTGTCGGGTAGGACAAAATTGAGTTGGTAACTACAAGATAGCTTGCACCGAGGCCCATTGGACTGGAAGAAAAAGGGTGAATACTGATCAGTGAAGTTAGTGATGGGAATTAGAGGATGCAGTTCCGACATCTAAGGAGAAAAGATCCAAGGAATGGTGTAGTACAGCGGTATAGTTCAGAGAAAAATACATGCTATTCTGAAAAACTGTGTATGCACTTGAATTTTTTTTTTTGCACCCAAATTTTTAACACCAGTTTCCTTGAACTATTTTAGTACCTTTTTAAGGTTTTTAAGGGACTTTTCCATCATTTGTTCTGTTTTCATTGGTGTCCATCTTGAGCTTGCCAGTGGCAATTGTGGTCCTTCATTGCAGATGGCAACCACTTTGAAGGCAGGCACATTTGCCCACTGATCCTGCTGTCGCACACTCCTCCCACACTGCAAATCTGCTTTCTGCAGTCTTCCCCACTGCCTTCCTTCAGGAATCCAGCAGCTCCCTCCTGGTGCCCTCTGCTCGCCCCCACCGACTTTGGCCATCCCTCCCCAGCGTGCATCATCCCTAAGCACCACCTGCTCAAAGCAGGGATGGAGAGCCCCACCCTTAATGTCTTCCCTCATGGGCTGATGCATCTCAGATGGGAAATACAGGAAGATATTGATCTATTTAATTTCTTGAAATGTAGTTACTATTTACAGGAAATCATTTAGGAGACCATTGTATCTTGTCGATGATCCATGCCAGAACCTCCATTTGTTTTGAGAAAAACCCACTTTGAGACTTTTGACTTGGAAGTTACTAAAAATGGTGTTAGCTCTATGCCCACCCTGTCAGTAAGTGTTACGTCAGGGCAGGATAAGATGAAGTTGGCTGCCCTTAGAGTGTGCTCTGAGTGCTTGTTAGTAACATCTAAGACATCTGCTAAGGCCGTGATAAGAAACATGATTCTGCTGAATTTATTTTGCAAACCTTACCTTGTCTATTTCCTGCTACTATTTATTACATGTATTTTTGGAACTGGTGAATTCTGTCACATGAAATTTCCTATAGTGTTAAGGCAAAATTAGGAAACATTCAACTACCATATTTGAAATGATTTCTTTTTTCCAGCCTCCACAGCTTCACGTTCCAGTCCAACAATGAGAAGAAAAGTATCTCTAAATACGTATACTCCTGCAAAGATTCTCCCAACACCACCAGCTCCCTTAAAGACCACTAAAGCGAGCAGCAAACCAGGTTAGGGGTATGTGTGTAAGAGTGTATGAATTTGGCATAGCAACTAGAGAATTAAAGATAGCTTGATTTTTAAAATGTAATGTCAACATTTTATATGTGCAGTGTTTTTAAGTAAGATCATTATGCTTCTAGAAGCTTTCTAAAATAACATCCTAAGAGTTAGACATATAGTTTGTCTGTTGATATAAATTTTTATCTGGAATATCTCCCCCCAGTACATCTATTAATAAAACATATCATGTTCACACATTGCCCCCAGGCTGACTTATCCACTCTCAACTTCTCTTGCTTTTCTGTTGAACCTAAGGCATCATTTCATCAGAATATATATATTTTTTTATAATACTCTTGCCTTCTGCGTTCTTAGCCTGATGTGACTATGAAACTCAGCTTCACTTTGTTTGAACTTCTTGCCATACTTGACTGTGTTGCTGGCCTCCTGAAATGCTCTTACCTTGCCTTTCAAAAGATTACTGTATCTAGGTGTGTTTCATTTTTCTGAATCTTCTGAGTTTCTGCTTTTCTTCCTCCTTTTCTATTCCAGATAAGGACTTGACACCGTTCATTTCCCCACAACCAACACCAGCATGCCATATGGGTGCCGGTGTGAGTCCCTGCTGCACCACTCTGATCCAGCTCCTTGCTGGGGCAGTTGGGGGAAGCAGTGGATGGCCTGAATCCTTGAGCCTTTACCCACGTGGGAATTTCAGAACAACCCCTGGAGCCCTGGTTTCAGACCAGGATGACTCCAACCATGCAGCCATTTGGGGAGTGAACCAACTGATGGGAGATATCTCTGTCTCTCTCCCTCTCTTTGTAACTTGCCTTTCAAATAAATAAATCTTTAGCAGCAGTACTGAAGTGTTTATAGGATTCAGGGAAACCTACACTAAATTCTCAGCTCTGTTTTTTACTAATTAAGTCCTCCCTTCCCCCCAGTGTGACTTTAGCTACCCCAGCTTTTTTAGGCTTGCTCTGTGTGTGGTGTTGTTATTCCCATTTGTTTATGTTCAGTCTGTATATTTATGTTTTGAAGATATGTTTTATAGAGAGCATGTATTCAGCTTTCTTAGTCACTCTAACATCTGTCCTATGGAATATATGGTCCATTAATATTTATTTTGAAGACAGATATGTTTTATGCACATGTAATTATTGGTATATGGACACAGATAGGGTTACTTTTTACATTTTGTGTTTATTCCTTAGCTATCTGTCATAGCTCCTCGCATTTGTCTCTTATTGGTTTCCCTAAATACATGTCCTTAATTCTAAATGGACTTGAGAAGTTAAGTTAGTATTACTTGAAGTAAATTGAAAGGTTCATTCGCCTTCTCTCTTTCCCATCCTTAACACATACTTATCTATACATATTATTTCCACATAGATTATAAAGGCTGCAGTACACTGCTATGATACTGGCCCTTAACAATCAGATGTATTTTTTTTTAAATTGTTTGACAGGCAGAGTTAGAGATATTCCATCTGTTGATTCACTTCCCAAATGGCCACAGTGACCAGGTCAGGGCTGGGAGCCAGGAGCCTTATGCAGGTCTCATGTGGGTGCAGGGACCAATGGTTTGGATCATTTTCCTCTGCTTTCCCAAGCGCCTTGACAGGGAGCTGGATTGGAAGCAGAGCACCTATGACTCATGGGCTGTGTGCATCATGTCACAACACCGGCCCCTGATTTTTGCTTTTAACCTATCTATTCTTTTAACCTATCTATTAGATCTTTTACTTCAAATGTCTGTATCTTAGTTTTGGCCATTCGGTTAAATTCTTTATATTTTTTTCTGATCATTATTAGCATATTTTCTTTTGCCCTAGAGCACAGTTAGAAGTGGCATTTTAAAACTTGTGTTAATGTGATTCAGCTGAACATTGTAAAACTGTTGGTGTTTGTTATTTCAGGTGTATTTTTCCTTTGGTTTGTTTTTTCGCTAATGTGACGTGGAAAATATCAAATTAAACAGACACTTAGCGGGAGATGGGAAGTTAAGCATGTTGTTCCCTGTCAGATCTTTACAGAGCCCTGGTTGACAGTTATGTAGCTGTGCGTGAGCTGAGGGGGAAGGCTGGGCCAAAAGCAGAAAGGTTGTGAATGAAAGCCGTGCTCACTGCCTTTGTTTGTGTTTGAGTTCTAAAATGCTGACTGTGCTTTGTTCACATCAGAATTACAGTAAGAATCACTAAGCTGGTGTCATTTGAGCTTGTATTGCCGTCTCAGTCTAAACCATAGTTTCCCCTTTTTGGTTTAGGTACCAGTGGGCCTTCTACTGCGATTGCTCCCAGTACCTCAGCCCGGAAAAAGAGTATAACTAACAAACCGGAAATGCCTGAGCACAGAAAAAGCACTGGGAAAAAGAAATGAAAATGAAATAGAACCTCATACACTTATAAAAGTCACATAATGAATAGAAAAAAAAAAAAAAAACCCTTGACCTAAAACTGTCAAAGCGAGCAGTTTGTTTTTCCTCATGCATACCTGTATTTATGGAAGAATGTCTTTTCGTGTCTAAGGGATTATTTACGTTCACGTAGGATATTTTGTCTTACTTTGAGAACATTTGAATCAATGTTCCTCACATTCTGCGAGCAACAGAGCCTGTAGGGATGCAGGCCTCGTGTCGGCATGACACCTGTTCCTGCAGCACATGGGAGCAGCGCTGAAGCCCAGCAGGCCTGCCGTAGCCGCATCGCTAGCACAGGGCACCGCCTAGTCTGACAAGCTGGCCTCCTGGCACGCTCTTGTCTCCATAGGATCACATTTTAGCTGTAAAGGCCTTTGGCTTAAGTTGAAACCTGACAGCCGATATTACATATTGGGGACTTTTACAGAATATATTCCCAAAGAGATTTCATTTAGATCAGAAAATGTGTCCCAGTTTTTTATAGTGACATATATGCTGCAATATTTAATAACTGGAGTAATTAGCATATAGGTGAATTTTTGAATCTGCTTTGGATTTTTTTAATGTGTATTATTTAAGGTGTTGCATATACAGGTGGGAGAACTTGTACCTTTATGTGCATAAATTTGTATATTAATTTGTAGAAAATGTTTTCTTTATATACTTCTTCACCGTGAGAGGTGCTTTATTCATCAGGAAAAATTTTGCCTCATTTTGGCAAGGAAAGCACCTGTTGAGTTTATTTTTTAGATATATAGGTAGAAAATAAGAGTTCTTTTTAGCTCTAAGGAACTCTTCAAAAATGGTAATTAATCAGTTTTAGAAATAACGTAAATGTTACTTAGGTAGTAGGTATTATGTGTAGCTTTTTTGAAAAAAATATTTTCATTCTTCTCTGATGCTACCACATGATCTCATTAGGAAGGCTTCCATAATGACCATTTGAAATTAATGTTCTTTTCAAATGTTACTTTTTAAAAAGAAAATTGATCGTTATGTTGTGATTCCAACTATGATATGAAAAACATTATCTTTGGTGCTTTGTTCCCCCATTTGCGCAAATACTGGCGAATCACTTGAAATGACTTAAACTATAAGCCAAACAATGCAACCTGCACTGCAAGTTACATAATTTAAATTACTATAGCTTTAGCTTGAAGGTAATGTTTAAAAATATTACAAAATTCTCAAAATGAATACAACTACTGTAATTCTTCAGAAGAAACTCCTTAAATTAGCATATATGAACTGGCATTTAGAAAATAAGTATATTACATGTTAGCTGTGTTAAAAGGTACCAAATGAAATGTCAGGAACATATACAGTTAAGTTCATATACTTCACAAGAATGTAAGTGTATTATAAGGAGACGTGTCTAATAGAAACAGCTGAATGTACCTAAGTTTCTGTATGTGAAAATGTGGTTAATATAGTCGTTGGGGTAAGGAAACTTTTATTTGTAAGTGAATTAAAATATTTTGAGAATCACATAAATGGTAAATTATTTCATGTATACTTTGCCTCTTCAGGTTTCAAAGTAGAAAGGATTTAACATTATTTAATATTACTTAATATTAAATAGTACTTCTCTTGGACATTAAACAGTGGACGATGACCCAGGTACCTGAGATCCTGCCCCCTTTGTGGGGAGCCAGAAAGGAGTCCTTGGCTCGTGGCTTTGACCCAAACCAAGCGGTTGACACACGTTTGGGAAGTCAGTAGGTAAATGGAAGATCATTTTGTCCTTTAAATAAATTTTTTTAAAAAGTTAAAGATGTCAGTGCCCACTGAAGAGGACCTGAAAAGTGTCTCTGGCAAGGTTCCCCCGAAGGAGCTGTCAGGATGGAGGCCTGGCTAGGGATACAGATGTGGCTGCCCCCATGGGTTCTGAGGTCTTGGCTGCAATTCTTTCTGGAGACTACAGTGCATGGAAAGGCAGCATTGCCCACCCAGTCCCTGATGACACCTGTGAGACAACACTTTCAGAACAGCCTATGCTACAGCCTGAAGGATCATATGCAGAATTTTGGCCAGGAACTGATGCCCTCACCTTGGTCTCTACACTATAGTTAATATCTCCTCCGAAAGTGGGACAACAAGAAAATTTTCTCCATTCGTTACTAAATGACCTCTAGGGGGCAGAATTGCCCGTCATTAAGAACCATTGTTCCAAGGTACATGATTGTGTAAGAAAGAGGATATGAAGGAGGTTTTCCAAAAAGTTCATAGAGATTTGTGTTATGAGAGGGGACCAGCGTTGTGGCGCGTCAGGTTATGCTGGCATCTGTGAGACAGGCATCCCATGTGAAGGCCTGATCTTCTCTGTTTTCAATCCAGTTTCCTGCTAGTAAGCCTGGGAAAAGCCAAAGGCAGCCCAAGTGCCTGGAACCCTGGCGTCCACTTGGGAGCCCCAGGGAGAGCTCCAGGTTCCTAGCTTAGGACTTCAGCCTGGTCCGTGTGGCCATTTGGGGAGTTAATAACAGAACTCTTTCCTCGTCCCTCCCTCTCCCCTCTTTCTCTCACCCACTCCCTGTGACTGTTTTTGAAATCGATCCTATCCATCAATCAACAAACAATGGTCAGTGAATGTACATGATGACTCTGTCATTTTTAGAAATACAGCAAAGCTATATATGGATTTTGAAAAGTTCCTTATGCTTGGATAAATTTATCTTTTTGAAATTAAGGGTAGAGATTTTCCATCCACTAATTTATGCATGCATTTCTTTCTCCCCCTCCCCCAAATGCCTGCAACTGTCAAAATTGGGGCAGATTAAAACCAGGAGCCAGAGACTGCAATGTCTGTCACCCCTATGCATGGCAGGGACCTGAGTGCCTAAGCATCAGTCACCTGCTGACTCGCCAGGAAGCAGAGCCGAGACTTGATCCTGGGCACTTGTGTGTGTGTGTGTGTGTGTGTGTGTGCTGCAGGTACTGCACCAAATTCCTGTCCCTTAGCTTACCTTTCCACTCCATTTTCCACAAACTTTTTGAATCCACATCAGGCTTGTGAAGCATGTGGAGTGGGGATAAACAATGGCTTATGTAATCGACAATTTACACTGTGCACTACAGCTTTCCTAGAACCCCCACAACCATTACGCTTTATTTCAGCACAATGTTGAATTACTTAATTTTTCCAGCTTGCATCTGTAGATGCCCTCTGCCCTGTGATGTCAGCACTGCACCCTTAACTTCTCAGCCTCTGGAATAAACTTTTCTTTTTTCTAGTTACATGGTCTTTGCTTGCTATGGAAACAGAAGCCAGGCTAACACGTGGCGCAAGCATCTCCTCTTTAGCTTTGTTACCCTGTGGTACCAGAAAATATCCAAGGCCTGTTGGCACTCACCTGTTTCCATCGTTTCAGACAGGAAGGGGTTGTTTTGCTGGATCAGGCCATCCCTTTTGCTCTAGGAACTCTTAGGCATCCTCTTCAGGTAGACCTTGACTGTGCCTGGCAGCCCTAACTCATATTCTGTGGTTGAAGTCCAGGTGTCTTCTAGTACTATGAAAGGTGGCAAATGCTTTTGATTCATATGCTGGGATAAGTTTTAATTGAGAAGTGATTTCTACTTTAATTTCAAGATTGCACCTCTCCCATGATAAGAAGGAAGGGGAAAGGAGGAAGCCCATTTCCTCTGGGCTGCTCTTCAGCAATGATCATTTTACACTGATGTCAACGCCAAAGCTGCCTACAGTGTGCTGTTGTCAAAAGTCAAATAACACTGGGTCAACCATAAAGGGAGGAGAAGAGGCACTGTGTGTATCCTTCTGTGGGGAAGGAGTTGTACACGGCCCAAATGTCAGCTAGGCTTCTGTACTCGATGAAATTCCACCACTTATTTTCATTTTATTTATTATTATATTTTTTACAGTTGAACATGTTCTAGAAGATTCTCAATACTCTTTTGCCTCTGTGCTTGTTGCCAAGGGAACTGCTTGCCTAGGAACAATCTGACAGCATCCCCCCTCTCCCATCAAGGTTATTCTAGCATTTTCTGCCTTAAAAAAAAAAAAAAGCAAGCCCTCAGAACAGTGTTAAAAATAAATAAAAACCACACAGTATTTAACAAAATCAAGCAGGCCCTCCACTTACCTATCTTATATTCTGTGTGCTGTGAATGGCATACTTGTGTGACCCTGTTGGGATAATGGATGTTCCGTTTAGATACCCATTTTAAGGCTCTAAGAAGAACGGCACTTGAGTAGGAATGTACGTGATTTCTTTGTCATTCCGTGTGCAGTGCCTCAGGAGTCCTTGATACATGGAAGACTGATTTTTATAAAAGGAAAAATGAAAGTGCCTTTTGAAAATGTTTGCTGCCTTTGAAATTACCGATTTTTTTCTGAAGTGAATCAATGTGGAGTAAAAAGCTCATGATAAAGGTGGTTGGGCTGGATGGTGGAATGGAAGAATGAGAAGAAAAAGAAAGTGGGAGGGATAGGGCAGAACCGAGGGACACTACTCCCCTATTACCAAAATATTTCATTGTTGGTGTGAAGAAAAAAAATTGGAATCCAAGTGCTTAAAGAATCTTTCACTCCAAATGAAATTACAAATTTTTCTTGTGTTTGTACATGAAATTTGTGGCTACTGAAAGAGACCTTGGAGCCTCAAGTTTTAGAACTAATGCAGTGTTGTGCAGCTGATGCTTCCAGGGCCATCTGGAATCTTCTGGAAGTCCAGATACCTGCTGCATTTGTTGCATGGTGACAGAGACGGAGAAGCCCCAGGAGGTGATCCAGGCACTCAAGGGTCTTGATTTTTTTAAGAGAAGACTCAGCTCCACCTGTCAGAAAACAAATCGGGGAAAGCATAGGGTCATTTGAGGAATGCTGTAAGAAAAAGAAAACTTTCCTCTTGGGTTCACATGACTAAGGTCTCTTCAAGGACTCCTTCCTCAAGAGGATAACGGGCAGATCATATACTTCAATTCGAATTTCTAGCATGAGGCTTGTGCATGTTAAAATACTTAGATTGAACTGTTTGGTAATGATATTTTTCTTTTTCCATGCCTCTTCAGGAAAGAGAAAAATAGTCTGCTATAAAGAGCAAAATAAAAGACTTGAAGAAAGGAGATGTTGGTGTGATTTGTGTATTTGTTTGAAAGACAGACCTAAAGAGAGAGAGTGAGAGAGTGATTTTTGAGATCTTTCATCCACTGGTTGAGCCAGACCAAGGAAATCCATATGGGCCTCGCGTGCAGGTAGCAGGGCTCCAAGCACCTTGGCCATCCTCCACGGCTTTTCCCAGATCATTAGCAGCGAACAGGATTAAAAGTGGAGCAGTTGGAGCTCAAACATACACCCATATAGGACACCAACGTTACTGGCAGTGGTGAAACTTACTACATTACGACACTGACCGAGACCTGGGTTTTAAAATCAATTCTACCATTGCAAGTCTGGAAAATTCTGAAATGTTCTGTTTTGTGGAGCTCCAGTTTCCTTATCTCCATGTCAATTGAGTTGGCTGCAAGTCTTATCAGTTCAAAATTTGTGTAATTTGAGTTTCCTTCTCTCCTTCAAAATTCTAGACATTTTTCTGCTACCTCTAGACCCCTCCTCTTTCATCACGGTCATCAGCGGCTTTTTGAACACTTAGCAAGACAACACAACCGAAGTTAGATTGTCCTAGCACAGTCCCTCTTGCTCCTGGGAAGTTCTTGGAGGAATTCCCTTGATTAGTAACAGTCAATGCCATATTTATAATATCAACAAGAGGCAATTTATTTATATCCCAGTTCTTTGGTATTACTCAGAATGTATCCTGTTCTAGATACTGGAAGCTACTGTGAAAGTGGACTAATTTTTTATAGCAGTCAAAATAAAATAGAGCTGTGGAAATCCCTGTAGTGAAAAAGCGATATTCAGCCAGTGAGCATAGTTCAAAGCAATGCAATCCTATAGCTGAAATCAGATGGCTATAGGAGGAAGTCTTTGAGGATATACATTATACGGGAAGTGTTCCTTATTCCATTTGCATATACATAGTACACTTTTCTGTGTGATCAGTTAAACTGACATCTTCCAGGTCTCCCACGCAGGTTTTGGGCCGTCCTTGACTGCCTTCCCAGGCCACAGGCAGGGAGCTGAATAGGAAGTGGGGCTGCTGGAGTTAGAACCGGCACCCATATGGGATCCTGGTGTGTGCAAGGTGAGGACTTTAGCTGCTAGGTTACCGCGGTGGGCCCCCAAATCATTTTATCTTTACAGGTGATTGTAACTTCTTTTGGCAGAGAGAGAAAAACTGTAAAACTAAAGTGATGCTCATATACTTGAACCATATGGAGATGCCCTCATGTGGTTGGGTTAGGCCAGGAGGCTACTTCATAAGGAAAAAGGCGGCTGCCAACTATGGTGTGGGGATTTTGGGGGGGAAATTTACCTGCTCACAGAATCCCACATACTTGCCAGATGCAGTGTCTAAAATATCAATATCTGAGTCCCTACCAAAAACTTCCACTGAGTGATGCCCT